TAAAAGAAAATAACATATAACCTGTCTTTTGAATACGTATAGGTTGGTATATATGTCCAATATATGGACACCATATGGATGTCCATAATGGACACCAAATGGATGTCCATCATGGACACCAAATGGATGTCCATCATGGATAACGTATGTATGTCCTAAAATGTGGAAAGCTGATTGCCTATGGACATCCATAGGATGTCCTGTGTACACAAAGTGGTTATCCTATGGATGTCCAGGGTGTCCGGGTGAGGATATCCATTGGATGTCCAATGGATGAAGGTGTGTTATTAGGGTAACTGCAATGGGGAACGCTCCTTCTCCAAATTAAAAAGAAATAAAAAGTGAATTAGGAAGTACGATATGCTTCAAGAGAGATTGAATAGTTTGTCGCTAATGTCGATAGAATGTGATATGCTAGAAAAAATACATTTTGAAGATGTTATTAACGCTTTTGCTCAACTCAAATCTAGAAGGGTACCTCTTCAATCAGCATAGATACTTATATAAGGACTAATCGAGGATGCTGGTTACTTAGTCTGGATTACATGATATAATCTATTCATCATATCTAATGTAACTGTAAAGAAATAAAAATAATGCTAGTACCTACGTTATTTGTCTATTCTGAAAAAGTAGTACTTTATTATGGTCATAGGGGTCCCATTATTATTCTACTGTGCCCAGGGCCTCTAATAGGTGAAAGACGGTCCTGGAAACAAGTGTCCCCTTTTAAACCGAAATTGATTGATTCATCGTTTCCGAAAAATGAAATTGGTACTTTTATCGTTTCTGACGGGCTGCTTCATTACCAACATTTTCAATGGTGATTTTTCCGTAATTTTCGGCGCGAACGGAACAAATCGCCTCGTCCAATATTCCGCTGGTGTGCCGAGCGCAAAAAATTCACCGTGGGATTATCCATATCCCACTCCTAATCTATCTTCCGTCTCGTTCTCACACCCATTATAATAATATTATATTATGTATATGCGTGTGTCTTTTTCGTGAGAAATACGGAATCGTTCGCTCCAAATACGGGGAGGTAACCATAACCAACAACCAAGTATACGCGCAGCAGTAGTATAGTCCGATTTCGTAACCTGATATGTTTTGCAGATTTCACGTAATAAAAGGCAGTATTGCATTGATTGAATGCCACTTGATTATTTTGTTAGTCGTGGAAACCACTTGATGATTCTTGGGACACCTGTTGCGCTTTTTCGTGGACTTGTTGAATCGCATTCAACAAGTGGTAGCCATTTTCCTGATTATACCGGGTTTTCAACGACGCTCATGCATCTGCCATAAAATATGTTGAGGTATTGAATGACATAATCGCAAACTAATTTGATGAAGATTTATCACAAGGAAACTTCCCCTTGATTGATTTGACGTTCTCTTAATATTGTCCTGTATTGCTCTGCACAATTTTTTTATTTCGCGCGGTACAACTTTCCATAATGAAATAGTTTGTTTCACCAATCATTGTATCGAGTCATTTTGTATTTAATTCTGCTTGTCTATATTCTTCAAAACACAAAAGCGTCTACATCAAGGTGGGTACACTGAATGAAATGACAGATGACAATACGGCAATATTTTTCCTACGCAATCTACGTTTGAAAAAGATACTAATGAAGCTAGCAAAGAAGCATAAAACACATCTTATAATTTCAGGCTCATTTTAGGCTAATTCATCACCCCATTCCCAAATTTTTTGCTCCTCTCTATCATAGAAAAATCTGTGGCTTTGCTAGCTTCGGCCGAACTCGTTTTTGAAAAACAATTTTTTTTTATGATTTGATGTAGTGCTCATTTTAGGCTAATTTATCACAATGTTCCCAATTTTTTTGCTCCTCTCTATCATAGAAAAATATGTGGCTTTGCTAGCTTCGGCCGAACTCAATGGAAACATTGATTTTTCACTAGGGTAATTAATTAGCCTCAAATCAGCCATTGAATCTGAATATATCAAATCGGTGTAGAATCAATGTTTTGAAAAATGACAGCTGAGTTCGGCCGAAGCTAGCAAAGCCAAAGATTCTTCTATGATAGAGAGGAGCAAAGAAATTGTGAACAGGGTAGTAAATTAGCCTAAAATAAGCACCACATTTTCACTGTATCAAATCATAGAAAATATTGTCTTTTAAAAATGGTTTCGCTGATTTCGGCCGATGCTAGCAAAGCCACAGATTTTTCTATGATAGAGGAGCAAAAATTCGGAAATGGGGTAATAAATTAGCCTATAATGAGCCTAAAATAATGAGATGTGTTTCATGTTGAATTCGTAAGTGGATTTGCTAGGTCATTTAGTATCGAAACCACTCGTTGAAATCATTTGAGACACCTGTTTGCGCATGATCGATTACTTGTTGAATCGCATTCAACAACTGGGCGCCATTTTCGAGAGTTTGTGGAGTAGGCAAAGACAAATATCTGTCTTCTGTCAAAATATTGAATGACATAATGGAATATCAAGAAAATGTATTTGCTTTCCATTTGTGATTAAATGTTTGTTTTACTTGCATAAGTCAAATATAAGTGTCGTATTCAAGACATCAAATTTAGGAGATGTACCAAATTTGAAATATTCAAGCACAACGAAGTTACGGAGGGTTAAATTGGTTTAGAGTCACCCGCTAGGTATACGAAATATTCAGTTCAATAGATGAATGTTGAAAATGAGATTACTATAAATACCATTTTGGAAGCTAAAATAGAATTCGAATACAAAAATAGATCCACTACTGACATCTTTCGGCAATTCAGTGAATCATAAATCAAAATAGCAAGGCGTTACAGAAATCTGTTCACCAAAATTCGACACGCTGATGGATTTTGATACATAATAGCAGATAATAGCATCTATAAAATGGTATGATACGAGGGTATTCACTCTAAAGTGAAAATATGAGGAAGCATTATTTGGTCTCAAAGAATAGTTTCCAATTTCAACTTGGGTTGATTTTGTTGACAGTATCAAATCTCTGGTATCAAGAAGCTTCTGTTGGTATAATTAGATTCGAAATAATGATTCCAGTGGCGTCGAACCTATATACAGGCTAAAATTTACAGGGTAAACAACTTGACTAAATTTTCTGGTGGCGGTTTATTCGCCGGTGAGTGTATAAGGTGTGTCTACGTCATAGTGTTTTCCAAATTCGATATTTTCATCAGATTAACAATTGAAAATACAACTTTCTTGTCTCCTATTGAATTTTTGTATACACTTTCTGAGGAAATAATGAAAAATTGATTTGTCTCCAAATTTTGATGTAGGTGCCATCAAATCGACCATTGGATTACCCAATAACCTCAATAAGTATTATTCTGACATTTTGAGACTTCCTCAGTCACCAACCATAAATTTTGCAATTATGAAAGATTATAAAGGGAAATCACGGAAAATAACAATCATTACTTCCCATGCAACCAGATGACGAATGATCACGTCACTGTGACGTCCCTTATTGGTGATTTTCCGTCAAAGATGTAAAAAACACCAATTTATGACGTCACTATGGCGTAGTTTCTATGACGTGATAGTCAAGTCATCATCTCGACGTCGAGTGAACGTCACTTAAATGGGTAAAATAAGACGTCAGTTTCATGACGTTGCAGGGACGTCATGTCGACGTCCATTTTTCCCATTCCAAATCTAAGCCATGTATACTTACACTATCATGTGAAACTGTTAGGTTTGTGACGTACCTATATATACAGAATGGGCATTTTCAGTGTCGAAAAGTTTTCAGAAAAACTCGTTTTCTCATAAATTTTACACGAACGTCTTGGCAATAGAAATATAACTCATTGAACCAAATCAATATGCAAGTTTTATTGGAATTATATATATCCATAAAGTAGGAGAAAACTTTTTTACATTTCCCTTTATATCTCGGAAAACAATCAAGCGCTGATGTATATGTATACATATGAATGTTAATATGGGTTTACCTATTGAAACCGTCACTTTTATGACGTTGCATTGACATATATATGACGTCTAAAAATCACGTCGGTGTGACGTACCAATTTGGTGAGTTTCGTAATTCAGAAAATTTTCCAATGATTTGTTATCTAGATTTTTGTTGGGTGACAAAGAATGCATGAATATACGTTACTCAACAAAGTGAAGCTAAATTCGCCATCCTTTTCATTGCTATCAAACTATTCTTGGTTTGCTTACATCTCGCCGACACAAACTACATAATTCTTGATCCAAATACGAGTAACTGATTTCATTCTAATGGAGATGCGTACTGAGGGATAGCGCTGCTGAATAGACGATTGAATGGGCATGACACTGGAGGGATCACCAAGCATACTCAACAATGCATAATCAATATTATATGTCATCAAAGGTCAGTGGTTTTTATCACACCATGTTTGAGGAAACTTTTATACGTATCATCACCAAATTTGAACGTCATTTCGACGTCAGTCCGACGTCACAGTTTGGTGAGTGAATGACGTCAATAAACGTGAGCAATATGACGTCATAGGGCTGTGACTTATTCACGTCATTTATCACTTCATACGCCGTCAACTCCTGACGTCACCTTGGTCATTCACCAGACGTAAAAAGACGTCACTGAAACGTCATCTGGTTGCCTGGATTCCAACTTCAACACCCTGTATTATGAAAACGAAGCATTTCAGAACCTATGTTTACATGAACTTCTCGTCTCAGAACCACCCAAATAATCGTCCCTTGAAGTTATAATGAATTCAGGTCGAGAATAATATGTTTCGGGACGAATATTGTTCCTGGTTTTGAGGTTATGAAAAAAATAAAATACCCCGAGAAAGTGTTGCTGATCTCAAGATGATTTAGACTTTCATCGCTACTAATAATAATCACTTTTGAAAAATAAAGGTATATGAACATTGAATTGTTTTCACTAACGAAATCTGATTCACTCTGTACAATTAAACCTAATTCGTCTGCTTTCTCGATCGGTCCATATTTGGCAAACGCACCTGAATCAATTACTTACCGATTTCACTCCATAGCTGTCGGATTTGGAGATCTGACCTTCGAGGTCCGGAGAATGTCTAACAGGAGCCCTTTGGGCGTACCCGGAGGAATAGTGGGAGCCATGGGAGCCGTGGGAGCCGGCCCCCGTTGTGCCCGAAACGGTGCTCTGGAGGTCGGCCAGTAGGGCATCTGGAAAAATTAATCGATTTCAAAAGGTGTACTAGTAGAACACTAAAATACCAATATCGAGTGAATTTTGGGGAAATAATAATTTTAATTATTGGGCCAATGAATCATTGTGCACATTCTGCGATCTTGGTGCTATGCCATTAACCAAACTCAAAGAATTTCTGATCAACGGATGTTTTTATAGTATCGACGAATATTTCAATCGATGAAATGCATTCCATATTATCTTCATATACTTTGTGTTACTAGGAACGGTTATAGGCTGAATATTCTGTGTACACTGTGTCCCATTTTGGTTGAGACTGCACTGTATCTCAGCTATTATTGAAGATAGAGACATGCGGTTTCCGCGACCCTGTTTCACTTTTTTGTAAAACTTTCAAAGCCACAAACAGAAATATTCCAACTACTCTTGTTCCTGAAATACAGGGCGAAAACGAAAATGTTCACTTTTGGAGATGTTATAATTTCTCAGGCCCCGTATAAGATGGAAAAAAAAAGAAAACTGCTTATAATAGATATTTCTACATAAAAGTCAGTGGCGTATTCAAACACCCTGCATATTTTAACGTAAATTTTTCGCAATTTTTCTCCTGAATTCACTGATATATAACAGCCTAATCTTCATCACATTTTATCTTGAAAAATCAGAAAAATCCATATTTGTGTTTGTTTTTTTAATAGTAGGCCGTGAATTCTTTCACACATGCATTTATTTATTACTTTCTGATTATGCCATGTGATTTAAACCTATGTATTTGATTATATTTTGATTATTAACTCAAAATATCACCCTCCAACATGAACTTAAAAATGATGAAAACAAAAAAAAAAATATATCGGTACAGATTTATCATTGAAAACTGTAATTACAAGAATCAAATTAGAAAATTAATTACAAAAACAAAAAACAAAAACATATAAATCTAATGAAATTGTTCAAACTGTCGTCCATTTCGTCTTATACATAAACCACATACAGTTTCAATTCGCCTGGAAGCATTTAAAATTATAAAGGGTTGCCTTTGTAAGTTTCTGAATGCATCTTCCGTTGAGGCTCGGAGTTCATCTATATTATTATGCCGATTTGCATAAATTTTATTTTTTAAGTATGACCAAACGAAGAAGTCTAAAATACTTAAGTCCGGTGACCTCGGTGATATATCAGTGAATTCAGGAGAAAAATTGCAAAAAATTTACGTTAAAATATACAGGGTGTTTCATCAAAAGAATATCAAGTTTGTTCCCAATCTTGAAAACAGTGCTTTGAAAAAAAAATCAGAATACGCCACTGACTTTTATGAGAAAATATCTATTATAAGCAGTTTTCTTTTTTTCCATCTTATACGGATACAGGGTCGAGAAAACCGCATGTCTCTATCTTCAATAATAGTTGAGATACAGTGCAGTCTCAACCAAAATGGGACACAGTGTACTATGTGGTTCTGTTATATTTTCGTGTATCTGTATATAGATTGTGTGTGAATTTATTGTTGTCTGACGTAACCTGTCATTTTTTATGATCGTGAAGGATTCAATAAATTTCATATTATATTATACAGGGTGTTTCAAAAAAACCTGACTTTCTTGCTAGGGTAGGTAGAACACTGCAAAATAAGTTGGGTTTACTCAGTAAAAAAATTTCGTAACGGCATCCGTTATCAAGATACAAGGTGTTGAAAAAATGATTTTTTTACACATTTTTCAAGATTATGTCGAAACTACTGGCAACATTGTGATGAAATTTTGTATACATCTCTTGGAATCTGACACATCGCATGCATTTGTTTTTATATCTGACTCTCATAGAGGGCGCTAGTTACACGGTTCGTACCGAGTAGTTTTGAACATTACTTTTTTGAGATTGGATTTTTCAATCCAAATTTGATGTCAACTTGAACATCATTCAATTTCACACCAAAAAGGTACTCTTGGTGGAACTCGATACTGTGTTCCGTTTTCGAAATATTTCGATTTGAAAATGATGAAGTGATAACTGTTGCAGGTATAAAGCTATGTATTAGAGTGAGTATTATGAAAAATTATCACCTATTTATTGAGAATCGAAAACAACAATACATTTCTGATGCTAAACTTATTGATTTAAACAAGAATAACATCGAAATAGATTTGACTAAGAACATGGATTACACAGTTTTGTTGTATCTTGAGCAGAAAGTCTATGCTACATAGGTAAATTCACGTCAAGAGTTGTGAAACATAATTGTACATCACTCAAATAAACTAACAGCTGATCCTCAACTGTTCAGTATAGGATCGTGTGTTCGTCGTAGCGTAGGACGTTTTGAACACTTGCTCTAAGTGATTCAATATTTCATGTTTCTAGTCAAAATTCTCTTAATTTTTTACTTATTATTCTTTGTTCCATCAATAACTTCATCACAACAATATAATTCTTTTGTTTTTGAATCTGAATAAATAGGTGATTGAACTCAATAAAATTCATACCAGCATCAGCTATTAAGTACTCCATTATTTTCAAATCGAAATATTCCGAAAACGGAACATAGTATCGAGTTTCACTAGCAGTACCTCTTTGGTGTAAAATTGAATGATGTTCAAGTTCATATCATATTTGGATTGAAAAAGCTAACCTCAAAAAAGTTATGTTCTAAACTACTCGGTACGAACCGTTTAACTAGCGCCCTCTATGAGTGTCAGATATGAAAACAAATTCATGAGATGTGTCAGCTTTCAAAACACATCCATATAAAATTTCATTACAATGTTGCCAGTATAGTTTCAACATAATCGTGAAAAATGTGTAAAAAAAATATTTTTTCAACACCTTGTATCTTGAAAACGGATGTACTTACGACATTTTTCCACTGAGCAAACCCAACTTATTTTGCGATGTTCTACCTACCCTAGCAAGGGGGTTAGGTTTTTTTGAAACACCCTGTATATTGAATTTAAATCTTGTTATACGACGCTATACATAGTGGAGTATACTACGGCCTTGCCAAAAATGCTATCTCGGAAACTAAGCGAGATAGAGGCATAGTTACTTTGGAGAAAATGATCCCCATCGAATTTTGAGCAACTTTGGTTTTTGTGTGTGGTCTGTCTGTCTGTCTGTCTGTACTCTGTGTTAATCATAAATCGATATATCTCCGGAACCCTTTGACATATCGACTTGAAATTTTGCCATCTTATTGTACTCAAAACAATATTATGTCATTAAAATATGAAGGAAATCGGAAAACTCTAAGGTGGTTTTTCCGGGTTTTTTCGATTTTTCACCGGAAGTTCCTTGTAACCACTCTACAAATCGCAAAAGTGGTCCGATCGATTTCATTTTTTGTGAAAAAAACCTCTATCAGGGAGAGACGATGCCTATTGAAATTGAGCAGGGTCGGAAAATTCCAAGTGGGTTTTTCAAGGAGATTTTCCGAAAAACACGGTTCACTTTAAAACGACATATCTCCTGAACCAATAGACTAAATCCAAATTTGAAAAATGCATCGTATGTCTCTTTGATGACGCAACAAATTATTATCCAACCATTTTTTCGTGCATCCATCGGAAAATGGAGAAACAAATGAAAATCAAAACATCAAACTTTGAAATCCTTTCAATTCAATATATATCGAAAACAAATGGAAAAATCGAAAATTATCAAAGGTGTAAAGTTATCCACTGGAACATTTCCTACAAATTATTTTCCATAATTTTTTTCTGTAAACCCAATAGTACAGGAAATAAAGTGAAAAATATGAAAAAAAAAATTTCAACGACCCATAGGGTACTATGAAGATATATTGAAAAACAGAGATTATCGATAGATGAAGCTCATCGACTTCCACTGAACCATGAAATATTTTTTCATTTTGTTGATTGGAAGATGGAACAAAAGTGTCGGAAATTTTATTCTCAGATAATTCCAAATATCTCGAAAACAACTGGAAATATCTGAAAATGTTAAAGATCCAAAATTATCCCTTTTGATAAAATCTACAAAAAATCCGTATAACATTTTTCTCTGAATTCAATAGTTCGGGAGATACGATGAAGAAACTAAAAAATGTACAAGTTCCTAAATAATCACTTGCCAATAGAAAACAAAACAAAAAACAAGAGAAAGTAAAAAAAGCTCACTCGAGTGTCTTGATTTTTTTCTCATAAACTACGTACCTAGCTCACTCGACTGTGTGGAAAAACCAAGACAGTCGAGTGGGCTAAGTACGTAGTTTGTGGGAAAAATCTCCAGTTCTCCGAACTTTCATAGTGTCGTATACACATCCTTGGTGCCCAATGATAGTTTCAATATAAAAATATACTCATGATAGGATGCCATGGCCTCTACTTCCATCTTACATGAGCAATGATAAAATATTATCTGCTTTTATAGCGTCGTATAAATTATCTGACCTCTAAATAAACTAATACCTTATGAAAACTACATCTATACTAACCTTTTAAAAACTACGTACCCACTTGTTTCTATATGCTCAATCCAATATTGAGTTTATATGCGTATAAAAAATTGGATAAAGATAGAATAGAATAGATTTATTTCCAAGAAAACATGGTACACATGTGTAGGAACAATTTCGAGTGTTTTCAAATATATATACTTGACTAAGTACAAAAAATAATAATTTATAACAGAATAGAAACATCGCTAACAGGAATAAACATATTTATTAGAGAACAGAAAATACGTTGTTCAAAATTAATATTTTTAGTACAAAAAAAAGAGAGAGAAATCCTCAAACATTATTTGTTGGGGCAAAATTATCATCCATAAGGTATTCACCAACTGTATGGTAAGCCTTAGTAATTATTTTTTTTATTTTTATCTTAAATGTTCTAGAATTGTAGTTATTTATATCGTTTGGAAGCACATAATATGATGATTAGCCTCATCAAAAAAAAATTGCGATATTGCAACAGTACAATATTACATTTGCATAATCTCGAGCATGATATATCAGATCCATTTTCGTTTTCTGTATCCCAGAATACCAATTAAACGAATGCTGCGGTATTTGAAACCTCTGAGCAGTCGTCTGTTGGTGACTTGCTAGTGGCGCCAGCTGTTATAACGTCGCTCAAATACTAAAAGAAATATGACTAATATCGATTTGATATTAGGAAACCAAACTAATATTGGCTAAATGAAAAATACAAATATGGAAACAATGTACGTAGTAAATATCACGCATAATATTGGAGAAATATTATTTAGATAACATTGATTCGATATTAAATTAAAAAATTATATAGATGTGATACCATCTTCATTATCTCGAATTGATATTAAAGAGCCATATTAGTGCATTATTGTGGACAATGAAATGCAATATTCACTAACGATCATAAATCCGATAGTGATTCAATATTTTTTTTAAGATTGATTGGATATTGGAGATACAATATCAGCCCATCATAAAAATTGGCATATTGTAATCGATAGATATTATCAAATAAATACCGGCTGGTCACGAAATTTTAATGTTATTACAACATTGGCACTGGATTAATTATTCAATATCGAAATGAAAAATTGGTTTGATATTGGGACAATCGAGCAGAGGAGAATTTAGTAATGCCACATTGAATATTCGAATATAATAATGTGAATTAACCAAGTTCTAGCCAATATGATGTGCCACCTGGGTGCCAAGACAGTGAGTGTATATTTTCAACAAAGGAATATTCTCAGATAAATTATGGACATACAAAAATGGATATATATTTATATGAAGCAATACATTGAGAATTCGCATTCTCTATGTGATGAGAATATCTACTCTTTTTCATTTTATTCAATAGAAAACAACTACTTTCCTGGCTATATGCCACGACGAACATTGAATTATATCTATTGAACACACACGATAAGAGTTCGAAAATAAAATATAAAAACTTCTGAAATTGAGAATTTGCATTCTCCTTCAGACAAAAATATGTATATGCACACATCATTCTGAATATTCAACAGAAAACAACTACTTTCCTGGCAATTTGCCACGTCGAACATTGAATTATATCTGAGAATATTCCTTTTCAACACTTTCATACCCAATCAGGGGGTTCAAACTTGAACGATGGAAACTTGTGATTTTTATAGACCTCTAATCGCAGATTCGTGATAGAGTCTCAATTCAGAATTTCTTTCCACGCCCTGTATGATGAATGTCAATTTATCATACACCCAAAAACATAATACTAGACTTGAGAATCTATAAAAAAAATCAACGAATATTTTTAGCAAGTTCAGCTAGCCTTGAAAGAGAAAAAAATGTCTACATCATCTGTGCTCGTCTTCAGTATTCCAACGTGAAATGAAATGATGGAAATTTTATGTTGGTCAGACTGGAAATAGAAAAACTTCTTCTCATTTCCAGTTTTGCCAAAATAATTTTCATTGTTATGTTGTGACACTGATGACTGAAGACAATGACAGATGGGAAAGACATCGTTTTCTCTCTCAACGCTAGCTGAACTGCTCAATTCATTTTATCTAGGACCTGTCTCAAGTGTCTTACTTGAAAGAATCAAAACTTGCGAACCTCAAGATAAAAATGTATTTTAAATGTCTTCTAATTTCAAAAAGTACCTATCGTTTTTCGTCAATCTAATTCAATTTTTTGACAACTGTCAACAGTCATTCCAGGTCATTCCTTGTAGTGAGACGGAATGGAAAGTAGCAACCAGAATCGAAGAAGTTGCAGATAAAATGAAACCTTCAAGTGATTCCGGTGGTGGAATCGGATAACTAAAATGCAACTGTGTGATAATGATAGACACTATTGATTGACAGTTTTTATCTACCAAGGTAAAATTTTTTAATTAATTCATCATTATTCATTTATTTATTTCCTAGGTTCAAATAGTTTGACTTCTCATTAGAGGAAATCCTCGAATAATGGTGATTTCTCAGGTAAGTGGTGGAAAAACATTCTTATAATTCCCATTACCAATGTCTAATCATTTATACTATGAAATGAATAAATAGCTAAGTAATTATACAGATAACAATGAGAACATAACCTACCACAATAAAAACCATGGGCGTAGCTACCGCCATATATCAGCCGTATCAAAAATTCGTAAATTGTTATCGACAATCATACTCAAAATATAAGGCCGTACAGTTGTTTATGAGATGAGGCTGTCTCAGGCATTGATGTTGCCGACTCTGTACGTTCAAGCGGGTGCCAAAAAAATTTTTTTATGTTCTGATTCCCCCGAAAATGGATATCCTGTAATGTTCAGAGAACATCGTGAGAACCAAGGGAAATAAGGTAGGAATTATTGTTCTCCTCGAATTTCTGGTGGTTATATGCCTCGGGGAACAATGGCAATGTGTTCCAGAGCCTCGCTGTTCGTTGGATGAACGAGTCTTTGGAAAGAGATGTTTTGCAGGTCTCCAAAGTGACCACGAAGGGGTGTGAAGCCTCAACTCGACAGGTTAATCTCGCGGGGATTACCAAGGAAGGAACAATTATTGATATTTCAGAAGAGCATCGTCTATGAAAATATCTATAAAATAGAGCCAGATCGCCAACTTTTCTTCGGTGACAATAAAACTGGATATCTCAGATTCCCCACAACACACGTCAACAGACATCAGTATTACAGAATCGTACCTCAAATCAATCAATATTATGTAGGTACTCTTACTGTCAAAATATATCAATTTCTCCAACAAAACAAATATTTCAGAGCCCCTGTGACCTGAGTATTACGTTCGAGGTGTTACAACCAGAGAAACTCATCGTTTTTAGAGGAAAAAAAAATAAAAGGGAAGCTTCATATTAATTAAAGATATATCAATTGATCTGTATGAATGATTGCTTTGAAATCATGCTCTAAATCTAACATTCAGAAAATTCAACAGCATTGCATCAAGTTTTCTGGAGGTTAACAGCATGCTTTCTATTACAAAATGTTTTTTCCCAGCTGTTCAAGTCCTGCTACTAAAAAAAACTGACTATCACCCTATATATAATATACAATGGTATCTCATTAACTTAACGTAGAAATGAAAATCTGGATAAGTATGGAATACTTCCCAATTCCCCTAAAATGAGAAAAACTCGATGCCGATAAAGATGTGGAAAATCAATTTCCTGTCCAGCCATCCTTCCAGAATTAATATATGTCAATGTTGACTCATTTCTTCTTACCGAGAAAATGCTCCCATTCGCCCAGATTCCTGAACCGCAACCTTCTAGGCTTCCTCTCCAAAGTCGTAGGAGGCGACGGATCAAAAGTCACCGTTTTAGGAGACGGAGTACGCATGCGCAACTTGACACTCATCTTTCCACTGTCCACAGCCTACCCAGGACTCCCAACGAACGCTCTTCACTTGTCGATCCCGGCACCAGATCGAACACGCAGAAAAAAGGATTCGAAGTTGGACCCTCAGGTTCGACCCAATTAATAAATTGACTGACACTTTGAGGAGATCCCGATTATGACTAACACACTTGTAGCTCGTATTTTGGCAAGCCCAGCGACCGATGGATAGTTAAAAATAGTACATCCACTCCACCATAAACATTACATAAAGTGAAATGACCGTGGAAATGTACGAGGAATACGGAAATTCAGTATGTCAGGGTCAGCCTGATGCGACCAAGAAATGCATTCAAAGATGGTTTTATTCTGATAGATACCGTGTCTGTTGATAAATATATGCAACTGCATCAAATCATATCAAATTTAACGGAATATGTCTTCAATCATCGAATGTCGCGTGTAAACTATTGATCAATAGAATTTTCCAAAAACGCAGCACATTGAAATTGCCTCCTACTGATATATTTACAATGCAAATTAAATTCACTAATATTCCAACGATCAAAAATGGATAGGTTGAATTATAACTTGTAGGTATCTGTTAATTTATTCATCCCACATAAATATGCGAGTTCACTTGTTTTGAGTGAGTATAATGTATATTATGTGATGTATATGGGATCGAATATGGTACATTCAATGAACCTTCACCGATCTATACAGACCAAAACTAACCGAGTAAGCGAGGGCATATAAAATTAAATCAATGAAAACCAAAGGCTAAACCTAAATACTTTAATATCAATCTTCATCAGACTTATCCAGATAATCCAACTTGGGTTCATCACAACTAAACTTATCCTTCAACAGTTCAATAATTGTATCCTGTATCAGCTCGACACTTTCAAAAGGAGTATAATCGTCAATAGTAGACCTAGACATTGTGATGATCACTGGAGGCTTCGGAATAAATTCCAAAAAGTTTTTGAAACTATCGAACATCATATCCAGTTCCTCCATTGAAGAAATGTGACACGGCAGCCCAGAAGAGTCACAAGTACAACCTGCTTCGAAAATAAACTCCCAGTCAATATCCTGGTCTTTGTAGTTCTCCAACAAATTCTTCCTCAATTGGTCGACCATTTTATGAAGCTCAGACGGTTCTTCCACCTCAGGCATCTTCCTGGTGCTATGCAAATGCTTGAACATGGCTTCCAGCTCATCCATTTGTTTCGCACGTTTCTCCACCGCTTCAAAAACCAACACATCTTCTTTGGAGGACGGTGGCTGGTACTCGAATATCTTCTTCAGAGCTTCGTAGACGTCAGCCTTATCATAAATTTTCTTGAAGGGATTTCCGGTGCTGAAGAAATCCAAATCCACATCCAGAATTATCGGGGCATCGCCACACAACAGCTGTTTCCTTAGACCGTTCAAATCATCAGTAACACCGTTGATTCGATTGCCCAAAGTAGTTACATGCAAATCAATCTCTCTAATGGCATCCAGGTCTTTGGCATGAGAGTATAAACCCTCGGATATGAAATAATCTTCTTTGCAATCCAAGCGTATTGTACCGGTCGATTTGTGTTTGCCTATATGGAACGTCTGACTTCCATTTTGCATCTGCTCAGCCCATGGTGGTTTCACCCATATCAAATTTCCGAAATGGCCGGCATATACAGCTGGCATTATCCAGTTTTCGATGCTGAGTTCATCGAAGAGGGCGTTTTTGTCAAAAACCGTATCGGCAGGCATATTTTTGGGTATCAACATGTCCGGGTGAGAATCAAAATGGATTAAGGTCGATCCTTCTAGGGGAAGGTGTTTTGAACCGATGTTCTTGTAGATAAAGGGAATCACTTCATGGTGATTTTCGGTGACGAATATTGGGATTAACTTGTATTTTTTCAGGTCGATTCTTCGCGGATCACCTGTTGACGAAGAACAGTTTCACTCAAAGGAAGGCACTGGACAATCTACACACTACTAAATGAAATAACCTTGCGTATTTATCTCTGCAAATAATTGTGAAAAATCATGATGATTGATATATTCCACTGAGCTACATAAGTAGGAATTCTTGTGAGGCTGTATAAGAATAGTATGATGATGACTACGAGTGACAATGTTGATAAACACTATTAGAGGGATATTCGAGGGGCTACTTATCTGCTTGAGCTTGAATAAACATCATTAAATTCACAAAAATATATTCATTTGCTAAACATTCAAAAGAAATTCTAACCTCCCCCTTTCCTCCCTAGGAACGCAAGATGTTCTTTGAACATTATAAAAATTTCTTTACCTGCGATTCAAAAGATTTCGAAAAACTATTTTATAATTTTGTTTCCCTATGGCAACTTCTTGTTTACATTTTGAATGTTATATAAAATGGTGGTCATAATATAAACACTGCCATAAATTCAACCTTATCATAATTTTAACCACCATTTTGGCAGTCAAAATGTAAGCAATAAGTCATCTATCAACCTACTCTCATGATGATAGGAAATGGTAATGGAAACTGATACTTTTTACGATTCTAACATTTGTTGTAACAGCTGCCACCTATCAAGTTTAACGGTTGGAAGTCGTGTTCTGTGTCAAATAATTATGGACATATTCATGTTTATAAGGTGTTTGCTGTTTCCTCAATTACCGAGTCAATTACTTATCTATATACAACAAATATAAAATTGAATCATGAACTTCGGTGGAAAATAAATACATATATCTGATAGTAAATCAATTACACATTCACTGCATATCAAAGTGGATTAGTGTCTCGTGAAGAAACAGTCATCCATACAATGCCCAAACTTTACTATGTAGCTAAACCACCCTAAATAGATTAATTTCTGTAGTTTCATTCTTCGACATCTGACATTCGCGCGAATAGTGACGCGACATATCTGCAAATTTTATGTCTCAAATATAGCAGAGGCGCCATCTTTCGCTCCTACATTATATAAAAACTTCCGTTCAAAACTTACAGCCAGGCGGGGTTCCCTTTTTGATGGAACACTGATACGGATTCAGACTTCCCGGCACGTATTTCCCGTACATAGACCGATCCATGACACGTGGGCGGGAAATTTAAATGCAAGCACTCGCGAATCTTTTGCCGAACGGTGGCGAATCTGTCACATGACCCGAGGACGAGAGAATTACAGAAAAGGTGTCACGTCACAAGGCGGAAACATTCATCTTGGATGTCCCTAGGGAATGAGGTTTGACGCTCCGGCGACGAATTTAGACGGGTCTCACAATAATAGTCATAAAATGAAAAGAAAATACGAAACGACGATGTTTGCCAGTGACGAATTAAAACGGATCGGTCTGTTGTCGCCACAGCTTTGGATGCGATTGAATATCTGGTACTCGATGATTTTCGTACTCTCGCATTCTGACATGATTATGATTGATTTATCGGTGTTACAGGTGCGATTTCATTCAATTTAATTCATTAATATTAATATGCGGATTACGTATTGCTGATTACGCAATCTCTGCAATTGTACGTGAAATGCGTACATGAAGTTTTAATGTTGATTTATTCATTTATTTACCTAAACTCGATTATTCGGATGATCGACTAGAAACTTTATGAGAATCTATGGTATTGAATAACAGAAATTCAAAAAATTGATTTAAATTCTGAATTTCAAAATTATTAATGGGGGAATATCGAGAGTAACGGTTGGACATTTGGATGAAATATCATATTCAATATAGTAGGTACTTATAGATACCCTGTAAAGATTATGTACTGAAGAAAAAAATGTATCTAATCGCTCATAAGAATAATCACATAGTAGGTGGAATTTGTAGTTATATTTTGGTAATTGTTAATTGCTGTTATTGTTGTACATAACCTTGTACATGACATAAGTAAGGTCACAGTTTAAGGCAAGCCTTAAACTGTGGTGAGGTTAGGCGGTTGAGCCTTAAACTGGTAAGGTCGTCATTCCACTTGCATTGTTTTGCATAGATGATCTGAATGGAGTATGTTTTGAGAATATGAGACTCGTTTATTTCAACATAACGATGATATTTATTCTCTGACAGATGAAATATTCGAATCTTCGATATTAGGAATTGAATTGTATTTCTCCAATGAATTATTATAGCTGCTCATTACATTTAAACTCATTGTGAAAAATTATAGACACAAGGAATATTTCATGTATACTAGTATGATCACTACTATTCGCATGTGGTGTGGAAAAATATTCAAGTAAATATAAAATATCATATATACAACACATCTGAAAGAAATTCTCCTTTATATTGTTATCAGGACTACACACAGGCGAGACATATGGTGAGACATATAATGGAGACAGTAAACAGAGATAAAAGGATATTATCATTTATTATTTGAAGGAAATAAGTGCATTGCAACAAATTAGGAAAAATGTGGTGAAACAATTTCCTATATGGATATGGGTTTAAGCCGGTTCAAGCTATTTAAGGATTTCTATAAAATATTAATCATTTCCAATTCCTTGAACTTGGATGATAAAGGATTTATGTTCTTGTGAAACTTCTTGTTTATGTTAAATTCCTTCAGTATATATCTATAGATATAATATGTAATCCTACCTATATCACTTCTTATCTAGGTGTCTCATCAAGGTGCAACTTGTTTTTATAGTTTTTACCCAAGGTATCACTAATTTGGAAGAAAAATAGTGTACTGTGTACACGATGGGTACTATAGATACTAATAGCACCATTAATTCACCTATACAGGATAAAAACCAGGGCAAATTTCAACTGTCTATATATATATAAATATATGTATAGGTTCGAAGAAAATATATAAAAATAGACAGATAGAAGTTGAAAATAGGTCCAGAGGCTGTCAGTGACAAAAAGTTATCGATGCACTAACAACACCTAACAATAAGGTTATGTTTATGTTATTTCCTAGTTGTTACAACCTTTAGAGTACATACCTAGATGGTCATCCATGGCTGCTGATAGGGAGATATTCACTATTTTCACTAGGACTTCAGTATTCCAGTTAACTACCTAATAAATAAAGATTACCTTATTTGGTCAAGAATGTCAATGATTGTCAACGGAATGTCATATTGATTGACCTTGATGTTGATTGGTCAATCAACGTCTAGGGAGTAGAAGTATCACAAATTTAGACCAATCAAAATGTGCGAAAGTTGTGGAAAATGACCATACTACCAATACTACGTTCCAAATGGGAAGACAGTAGGTGGCGCTGCCTCTGAAGGAATCTTTACACTGTTGAAATAAATAATGACGCCTAATTCGAAATTATGACCATAGTGAATTCCTCTTTGAAATCTTCATTCTTCACTTCACGTTACAATCTCATAATATCAAGCAAGTGTAATATTGCCTTCGATATTAACCAATCAAAGCGAAGATCAACGCTTCCCTATGGTTGCCAATGCTGTCTTCTAAGTTCTACCAACCTTGGTTGGAATTACAGTGGCTGTATTTAACTCGCCCCATCTGACGGCAATAGCTTCAACACTTCTGAGTAGTGACATCGCAGCTTAGTTGCCGTTTTCACTAGTTTTCAGTACTATTATACTTTTTTAGTACATTTCATACACACTTACCAGTCACCTTAGCACTTCAATACAATTAACACTAATCTAGTACAAAAACAAGAACCGAGATAGCCCTCGGGATAGCTCTAGCTATTATTGTACACAAAACAATCATTTGGAGAAGATATGTTATAATTGGAATCCTTATGAAGCCCTCAAAGTCCATAATTTCCAATTCAACTGAGAAATAATGAGCTGTTATTGATGAATTGATTTGACTTCGACGTCATCTATTTTATCATATTGATAGTATGACAGTATTTGATCTCAATCTATAATCGGATCTGTTCCTTTTCATCTCTTATTCTCGGCTCATGAATTATTTTAAATTTTTATAGATTAATATAAAGTTTTCATCAAATGTGAGAATCGTAAATTTTTAAGAGTTATTTTGTCAATTTAGTACAATATACTTGAATTTAGTACAATTCCGGAATGACTTCTAGTACAAATTGAAATTCTGAAACGGCAACACTGCATCGCAGACCCTGACATTGACATTAAACTATACATTTCTTTTCGGTTTTCATTATGGTTTTCATCTTTGACCAAGGTTGGTTGGTTTCAGTCATGGATGAAGGATGGTTTCAGTATCATGGTTTTCATCCATTATCCATCAATCTATCATCCAACATCCATCCAGTTGTCCTTAGTCTCAGTTATCGGAGACCAAACATGAAATCAATGTTGATATTTATTTGAAATATACAATAATTCTTACAACAAAAGCAAAGTACCTATAAGATGTAAACATCAATAACTTTATATTGTATATGCAGTTTAAAAAAATATATTGAATTATTTTTCATAACACTTCAATAATTATTCTCCCGTCTTCTTATGATTTATCTTTATTCATCTGAATCTCCAACACCCTCTCGCTGTCATAATCGGGCTGCGACAGTTTCCTGTAATTCTCGTCATCCACAAAGCAAATTTCATGGCCGTCTGGATCAGCCAGAATGATGACTCGCACAGTAGCTTTACCGGGGGTGTCAAGAGAGATGAGAGGTGTAAGAATAGTTTGTTTGGCTTCCTCGATTTTTCGACTCAAAGATTCCTGTTGGGCGTGAGGAATTGAGAAGGCTATGCGCCCGTAAGCTTTGGCCCGATTTACACTTTCACCTTAAAACAAACATCAAGATTATCTACTTTACGCTGATGGCGAATTTGTTAGGGTTAGGTATTCTTTTATAGACCATCTTACCAATGTCCTTCAATTCCAACTTAGCTTCATTGTCTTGAAAACCAACAATCACCGATTCATCAGTTTTATTGAAAACTCTCAAACCCAAGATACCCTGCCAATAATCAATCGATTTTTGTAAATTTGAACTTGCAAGAGTCACCTGTTGAACTGGATCTAAAAGATAATTAAAAGTAATAAATGGACTAGGTATATTGTACCATATGTTGAACCAATTCAAATCCATTTCCCAACAAACATAAAATGATTTACCCCTATTTGTAGGTTGTGGTTTATCAACAATACTGAAACTGTAGCCACCAGGGGCTTCTAGGATGTTTCCAGACGATATGGGCCAGTTTTCTTTTCTAGCTCTTTCCAATGCTTCACTGCTCTGGATGGAAATTGATATGAAATCATTGCCCTTTTCATAAGCGTGAATTCCATAGTTGTAGGTCAGTTCAACTACGAAGTGGTTGTCTTCAGGTCCATAACCAACCATAGTTTTGCTCCATCGGTTGGCATAAGGTCTAGGAACGAGAAAATTGGATATCCTTTAGCAATTTATCTTTGTTTCTTACCCATTGCAAGCAGCTTCACAACCATCTGTAAACTCTTCATGTCTCAGAACTTTCATGCCCAAGATATCTCTATAAAAACGCATGGTTTCTTTACGATCTGGGATCTTGAAAACATAGTGGAGAGCTCTACCTGTTAGTGAAGCCATTTTCCCTCTGTGGGATTACAAAAATTATCAGCGTGGATGGAACTCAATTCGATACCTACTTTAGTTTTCATTAAACATTGGTAAAAAAAACCTTACATACCTACCTATTTACCTGACGTCAAGTTGAGGAATGTTATGGAATGTAATAAATCAGTTCTTAAATTATTATTGATTGTTCTATTATTTCATCATTGTTCTCTGAAATCTATTTATTATGATGATTTGCAAAATATCAAGTGGGTATCATATATATATAACAAGGTATGAGATAAAACAATAGGTAATAAGTGTATAAAAAATATAGGTAAAAGTACTTATAGGAAATATTTAATGCAAACAATAAATTTGACTCTCACATGCTCTCACTCAAAAAATAATCTTCACCCTTCACCTTTATTAAAACTACCTACTTGTAGGTAGGTACCTACCTATTCAATAATTAATATTTGATGGAATTGTAGATCTGTGTTTGAGCTTCTGGTCTATTGGTAATTTAATAATTTATCATTGGAATAACCCAAAGCCCAAACCAATTACCTACCAAACCAGAATCTCATCATCTATATCTATGACCGTGAAATAAACACGCGCAGCCAACAGGTGGAAAATTATAAATTGTTGGTTGTCTATGTTCAGTTCATAGTAGTAAAAGTAGTAGTTGTATTTTGTGTAAATATTATAATAAAATATAATCATGATTCATAATAAGAGGACATATTAATATGATAATTTCGTCGGCACAACTTGAACTTAGTAGACATTAGGAGATAAATATCTAATCATATCTTTATTGCTCTAAGAAATTACCTCCTGATAATCTCTTTGAAATGGGTACGTAGAATTTCAAATTAATTGGTTTCTATTTCGAGTGTTGTGAAATTTTGTTTTTGTTTCAAAACATCACATCGATGACTTTTGAATAAGTTCTGTGGATCCTATTGGAGATTCTGTCAAATTGATGTCATCTGTCTTGTTTGTCTAGTGGTTATACAATCACTGGCACGAATTCAATACGACCTGAATTGAAGCATTGGGGTAACTTATCATTGTATATATAGAGACAGGATGCAAATGAAACAGGACGCAACAAATAATCCGTGCGGAAATAAGTTCACAGAAGTTTTTGGACCGAGAGCTTAGCTGCGATCCTGATAAAATATCATTGAAATAGCTAATCGCTATCATTTTCACACACACAAATTAATTAAGCATTTCACACTCTTGAATTTTTGTACTCAGATTCATATTCCCAAATCATTTATTTTAGTATTGTTGGTAATTTTATATACATATATATTATACGTCTCCGTTTTTGTGATTGTTTAACACCGGAGTTCTTTCATTTCATTTATTTTTATATCTATCCATTTTGATTATTTTGTATATAAATATTTTACACTCCCGAATTTTTGTACCTACTTAGTTTTATATTCCAAAATTATTAATCTAAGAATTTTCAATAATAGCTCGTCACACGAAATTCATACTTTTTCACCACGTACAAGCAGCATTTTCTGCTTCTGTGGGTTTTCTAATGTGTATTTACCTAATGTTAACTTGCTGTCATTATTTCTTCCATTGTATTCTGATTCTATCGAAATAAACATATTATTATTATTATTATACCAAATGTCAATTTGGATGCGCGCTTATAAAAAGTAGACCACATTGTTCATTATTTTCCTCTTCTTTCCAGTTAACAAAACATATCTAGATATTTTGGGAAAGATTATATCTTCAGCCTAGGTTACATTTTTTTAAATCATAAGACTCTCGAAAATAATACTGTCAGTATATCCGTGTTCAATACTTCATCTTATATTTTGTATACTATATGTATATCTCTTTCCCCCCGCATAATTCCATTATCATCATTTGTCATAGATAAATCAATTGTTCGGAAATTAATCGGTTAGCAGCATGACTCAAGTCATTAGTCATTCATTCGGGACCAGGTGGTAAATCAAGACAGTTTTATATTAGATGTCATCACGTACGGTCGAAGTTTGTGATCGACATTGAAAAATACGCGAAAGGAATTATTTATCGTTCCAAACGGAGTGTTCCCTAAAAAATGAGTGATAGTAATGTGTTTTTGTATTCCTCATGCAATAATTCGTATCGCGATCGTGTTTTGTTCTAATGTTTCGTTCGTTTTTTACCTTTTTCACGCTGGTGAGTTTTTTCTTTAATTTTTTTATTATGAGTAATAGTATAATCTGATAGGTTTCTTGTGCCGATACCACTCGATACATCTAGAAATCTCAGAGTAGGTACTCCTTTGATTCATTTTTATATACATATACGTATTTTTTGTGAGAAATGTATGCGATTAAAACATACCCGAAAAAAATTTGTCAATCCGTATCGCTGACTGTGCTAGGCTAGGTACCGCAACTGCCAATTTTCACAGAGAAATTTTCGAAGTCAAAATTTCTTTGAAATGGTCACACACGAATTATCAAACTCTCATTATTATTATTATGCATATACTCAGATTGGAAATTTGTCTCGAAATACCCTGTACTAATTGTATAATTTCCTATGGTATATTATATTTATATCCAGCCCGCATTCCTGGATAAGGTGATTAGTCATAAAATTTCAACTCACTGTTAAAATATGAATAACTTTTTTTCTGCTTTGAACAATTTGAATTTGGTTCACACTATTCGCTAGCCCAGCGCTTCAGCTATAAGCTTGTACTTCTTTAAAACATGAGGTCCTTTATATAAACTCGCTACAGGGTGTCACCTGAAACTGTGAACAATTTTTGAATTTTCAAAAGGATCCCAAATGATCGAAAACTTTTTTTTTCAACTTTGACAGCAGATTATCTTGAGACATTTTTCGAATTGTCTTATTGTCCCTTTTACTTACAGAGTGATATCGAGAAATTAACTTTTAGGTTTTACAGTCATAACTTTTTTCCTTCCCAACCGATTTTTAAAATCTCAGGCTCATTTTGAAGATGAAACTTCAGATGAAGAGATATGAAGATCAGAATTGACTCAAGATGAACATTGCACAGTGTGTCTACAACGGTAGATATATACTAAAAGTACACACTATGACCAGGTGGAGTCATCTTCAGTGATATACACTGCTTGCTTACAGCCATGGAACCACCCACAAAAATGAAATAGGCGAGTTGGCTATTTTTTTATTTCTTGGATAGAATAAAATCATCACTCAAATAACTTTCGATTTCATATATTTTTAGAATTCTTCATTCGATTTTAAGGTGCTGAGATCAACAATAATGCCATGGTAATTTTCAAACGGATAAAAAGTTACCGCGAGTAAAAATTGACGTCACGATTTCGTAAGTAGGGACAGACCATAGCACAGTTGCCAAATGCTGAAATACGATTGGAACTAAGGAAATATTAAACTGGTCAACATTGATAACGTCGTGGTCCAAAATATAGCCCGAATTCAAAGTAGAATAACTCACGAATTTCCTTACCAATTAGAAATCGGTTTTCACCGATGATTAGCCTAATCTCTTTACAGTTTGTTGTGACAATATGAAACATCTGTAATCTCAGATAACATTGCTACAGGGTGATAATTGAATGGGTGTAAAATTGCATCGTGGTCTTAACTTTACCATTCGAACAGATAATTATTTTAATTTTTGTTTCTCACCAGTACCCTCATGATTGATGCTTTCTCTCGTAACGTTTTCGGAATTCTTAAATTCAGAGCTTTGATAATCATGTTATGAATAGTCGTTCAAAATGATGCATTTTTTTGACGAATAATAATTGAATGAAATTGGAAGTTGGAGTTCTTTTTCGAAGAATCAACGTTGTATGTATAGTCGTCGGATATGTGATTGTGTTCGAACACAGAAACTTCTGAAGAAGTCTATACAAAGTGATACAAGAAATACTGAATGATGGAATGGAGAATAACGTAGTCTTCAGTAGATGCAACACAATTTTCTCTGTGTTACTAGTGAAATAATGGAGTGTTACTTCGTCATCGAGGATGTCTGGTGCTTCAGTAAAAAGTGTGACGAAATTCAATTTTTCAGAACCGAAAATTTTCCAGGAAAAATATGAATAGTTAGAGAATTGGGCGTCCTGATTCCGAATCCGAAGTGATTTTCAACCTATTTTGACCCCTAATATGATTTTCCAGAAATTGGGGTGGTTCCATGGCTGTTGGCGAGCAGTGTATTTCACTGAAGATGACTCCACTTGGTCATAGAGTGCATTTTTGGTATATCTCTCGCTCCAGCAAATTTCAGGATCCTTACCCAACGATTAAGTAAGATACAGGGGTGTTTTCTTTGTTTATACGTCCATGGGTGTTTCCATTAAAAATGGGTCACACTGTATAATATGTAATATAACTTCTCAAAACGACGATGCCTGAAAGTGTTCATAAAAAACTTGTAGTTGAAAACAAATTTTCATAATATGGGATTCTCAAGGAATTCTTCAATTTTATAGCAGGCCATGGCAGAAAGTTTATTTTTCATAAAATTATTGAATTCAGACTTATCTATTTCGAGTGTAATAGCAGTGGTTGTCAGCATTTGTCTGAAAGTGGTTCTTGTTGGCGTGTACAAATTCAGTTTAGTATATACAAGGATGGAATTGTTAGAATTTTTTCTCTCTTGAAAGACTCTAATGGCCTTTTTCTGTAGGATTTTTTCTGCATCTGTTGATGTACCCCATAAAAGGATCCCATATAGGAGGCTATACTATGGAAATTCGCGAAATATGCTACCCTGGCTGTATGATGGGTGGAGATTGTCTTCAGTCTTCGAATTGTGTAGATGGTTGTACTCAATTTTCAACTCAATTTTCCCATATGAGGCTTCCAGTTCAGGTTGCTATCTATAGCTATACCCAGTAACTTGAGTTCCTTCACATCCACTTCATTTTTTGGGGATAGAACAAGGCTCTGTGTCTTTGTATCGCGTTCCAGTTACGAATGTGGGAAATATTATTCAGGTATGTTTCAGATTCAACATCCATGTTTCGCCTCTCATGAAAATCAGTTTTAATTTTTATGGACTTCGATATTTGATGTCATGTTTATTTGCAGATCTGAGAAGCAAAGTGTTGATACTTGTCACTGAATCGGAGAAAACCATCCAGTCACGACGAATCGAACAAAGAATCCGCAAAGAGAAATGGCTAGAGAATACTTTACAGAATTCAGATCCTTATATTCGTACGGCAAGCGATATATTGATATCCTTTCCAGATTCTCAATAAAACAGATAAGACAGATATTCACCTTTATGTCTCTATGGAAACACGACAGGTACCATATACTTAGTTTTAGATCTGAGCAGCACATTGTTTGGCCTTCAAGGTTCTTAATTATACCCTCGTAATTGAACATGTGGAAGATGCCTACTGGAAAAAACACTATACGGAAAGGAAGCGGATATGTAGCAATCTAGTTACGGACGTTGAAAATATTATTCAGGTATGTCTCAGATTCAACATCTATATGTATTTCCTCTAATGATATTATCTGATTCAAATGTACTTAATTCGATTCAAATGTGATGTTTAGTTGCAGATCCAAGAAGCAGTGTTTGATACTTGCACTCAATCGGAGAAAACCATTCAGTAAATACGGTCCTAACAGAAGATCCGCAAAGAGAACTGACCAGAGTATACTTTACAGAATTCAGTCGTACGGAAGACGATATATTGATTACCTTTCCAGAATCTCAAGCAGACAGATAGACAGATATTCAGCTTTATGTCTCTATGGAAACACGACAGGTACCCTTACGAGGGGAGAGTATCAACTCGGCGTTTATAAACCCTCTCTGCAAAGGAGGTAGACGCATGGTGGGTTAGGTATATACAGTGTTCTTCATTGCAGAGAAAATTGTTGTTTATCTGCCTGCCTCGTCTACATTGAGATAGTTGATGAATTGATGAATTACAAAAATATATCGCGTTCCAGTTACGAATGTTGAAAACAATATCCAGACTCAAATTTGAAATTGATACTTAGTTTCAGATCCGAGCAGCCTATTGTTTGGCCTTCAAGGTCCTCAATATAACCCACCTAATTGAAAATGTGGAAGATGCCTACTGGAAGAACCACTATTCGGAAAGAAAGCGGATATGTAGCAATCCAGTTACAAACGTTGAAAATATTATTCAGGAATGTCTCAGACTCAACATCCATGTACTTCATCTAATGATATTTATTTTCTGATTTGAATGTATTTTGATTAATATGTAGCAATCCAGTTACGGACGATGAAAATATCATACAGGTATGTCATCCATGTACTTCATCTGATGATATTAATTTTCTGATTTGAATGTACTTCGATTGATATCTGATGTTTATGGTTGCAGATCCGAAAAGCAGTGTTTGATACTTGCCACTCAATCGGAGAAAACCATCCAGTCACGACGAACCGAACAGAAGATCCGCAAAGAGACCTGACCAGAGTATACTTTACAGAATTCAGATCCTTATATTCGTACGGAAGGCGATATATTGATATCCTTTCCAGATTCTCAAGAAAACAGATGAGACAGATGTGAGTACATGAGTAGTATTGATAACCTCATCCAGGTTTTCACCATTTCTCAATTATAAGGCTCAGCTCATTCAGCTCATAGATAAACTACTGCTCAGCTTGAAATCAGAATTCATTCAGTCAATTCAGTCAACCCTGGTATACAGTCTGAGAACAGTATCTTTTGGTGGAATATATTAAGCTTTTAGTACAAATTATATGTTCCCTACCTCGCAAAAAGATTATGCTGGAGTATTAAACTCTAAAATTAGAGGATTGTTCAACTATATCTTGGTATAGTTGAATCAGGAATATGGAAATTACGTATGATACGCCAATGACCTCAATATAACCTAAAAAACAACAAATGTAAAAAATCTAGTGTTATAAGGATGGAACTATATAACTGTTTCACAAACACTTTAGATAGTGAGAGGTGACCCTGTTAAGATGACTTTAACGTCTATTTCGATCAAGGGATTGAAAAGGAATATTCTCAGATATATTTATGAACACAAAATAAATGGATATATATATATATATATACATATATTCAATTAATAATAATAATAATAGCTGTATAAATCAATAGATTAGGTATAGGTTTTTTTTTTTGAGTCCCACATCAGCTGCATCCCCACAAAACCTATACCTAATATATACATATATATATAAAGAAATACGTTGAGAATTCGCATTCTCCATGTGATGAAAATATTAATTCTTTCTCGGTTTATTCAACAGAAAACAACTACTTTCCTGGCTGTATGCCACGACGAATATTGAATTACATCTATTGAACACACACGATAATAATTCGAGAACAAAATCTTCTAATCAACCCCAGTAAAAAGTTTCCGAAAATTGTGCAGGGCAGGATGCTTCATTTCAGGTCGTGATGAATTCGTGCCAATCACTGACATAAGTCATAATCTACTGTCAAATGACTAGGTGTTCCGTGTACTCCATCAATGTCAGACCGTCACCGAACTGTCGGTGCTGTAGAATTGTGGAAATAAAAGAAAAATATTGTTTATATTTCAATTTCAAATAAGTATTTCAGGATATCATTAATTTGTGGCGTTCTATCTATGTTTTGAATTAATCTTTCATCAAAAGAAAATATAACATTTCACCAAAATGGCTCTTGCTATGCAGAGAAAAGCAAATGTAAGTATTAGGCATTATTATATGTATTTTTTTTAGAACCTAATGATTCTAGGTACGTTTGCCCCCAGAGATAAATCGAATACTTTATGTAAGAAATCTTCCCTACAAGATCACAGGAGAAGAAATGTATGATATATTTGGTAAATATGGAGCAATCAGACAAATTCGAGTAGGAAACACTCCAGAAACTAGAGGGACAGCTTTTGTTGTGTTTGAGGACATATTTGATGCAAAAAATGCCTGTGACCACTTATCTGGCTTCAATGTTTGCAACAGATATCTTGTAGTTTTGTATTATCAGGCAAATAAGGCTTTCAAGAAGACAGATATTGATAAGAAACAAGAAGAAATTGACAAGATGAAATCTAAATATGGTATAAATACATAAAATAGAACATAGATATTAAATGACATGCTTTTTGAATGAACTAGAATATGTAACAAAAAATAAGTTACTTTATTAAAACAAACAGCACATTATCACAATTTCAAATTACCTTCTTAAATTCTGAGAAACTCCAATGATAATGAATAAAATATATTCAAGTATACCTACCAGCATTTTCATCTTCAGCCTGGGTGGAAAATATGTTTTTCAACTATTCTAACAATGTCAACTTTTGACTGGACTTAATTCATGAACAGATATTGAAGCTTCCCCATATCTCCTGCTAGCCTCCTTAATAAATGCACTCTCCATTTCTTTAACAAGTCTATCAAAGAAAATGGAGGCCACACTTGAATATAGAGCAGATTTAAACTCAAATCTGATATAAAAATCTATTATACATGTTTTTGAGTTACTCTGCAACCCAGGACTAAATCTCCATGTAGTTTCCAAATAATTGAATAACCTTCCATCTCTACATATTGCCTGAACAATGTTGGGTCTATCTAGTAATACTGTAGAAGTGTAATTCTCTACAATAGGAGGAAATCCTATCTCCAAATTGGCATGTAGTTCAGTGGGTGACCTTTTCAATATTGTAGACTTTGTACAGAAAGGTAAAAACTGTTTGTATCGTTTTACATCTGCTACGACTCGGTACATCTCATCATTGGAAAAACTAAATAGACAATCCAAGATATAACATCAAAAACTATGGGTTTTGAAATCTTACCCTATCAATTTTCTCGCAAGGTATTCCTTCTTCTTACTAGCTGATGTTTTGAAAAACGTACGAAGTCCACGATTTGCAATATAGACACAACTTCTGAGAGGCAATTGCATTATGTCATGTCTTGATCATGTCATATTTATCATTATATTATTATTATTTACAACATTTTTCAAAAATGTTTAGTAAAATTTCAATGACAGGTGACAACAGCTGATTGGCATATTTACAGTACTGACACTGACACTAATCGCCATAGAAAATAACACGTCGCCCCACCTGACGGCAACGCAACAACTTGAACACTTCTGAGCAGTTTGTTTTGTTGATATGACCAATAAGAAGAAACAAAAACCAACTCAAACCAATAAAATCATAAGAAACAGGCCGCATTGACAGTTTTCAAGAACTCCGATAGGTGGCGTACGTTTATTTGCTATCGCGAAATGAAAGAAAATCAGACCGATTTGTTATTTTCCTGGTTCATTGTCAATGTCGATAACTGTCAATGTAGAAGAAAATGTATTCCATGTCACACTGTCACAGTTAATAACACGAAACTGAGATCACGAAACCAAAACACTGGTAATATTTTCCCGACCGGGATTCCCATAGTCATTATTTTTCTCGAATATTCGGAACCATATTATCCCAAAACTCAAAATGTCTAGTGTAGTAGATACTCTTGTGGAAATGGGATTCAGTAAACAGAAAGCGTAAGTACATGAAATATTCATAGTATTTTTTTGCCTAACCTCAAAATTCAAATCTCTAGTGAAATAGCAGTGGCCAAAACAGCCAGCCAAGATTTACAGGTCGTTATGGATTGGATTATATCGCATGAAGACGAACTAGAAAGTCTAACATCTAGTATATCAGATTCAGTACCAGTCTCGGCACCAGTAGAAGTAGAACAGCCAGCTAATGTGAGCACTTCTGAAAACAATGTTGAAATGGCCCCTGTGGAAGGTTCTGAGGAACCTTCACCCATAGCCAAATCAATAAGGTGTGATGATTGTCAGAAATTATTCAAGTCCAATGAGGAGGTTGAGTTCCATGCTGCTAAGTCTGGTAAGAATTTGCTCCCAAATAGACTAAAATTTCGAAAAAATGGTATCAATATCAGCAAATTATCTCCTACCACAATATAGATCATAAGCATCATTACTATGATGCCTATGATCTATATTGTGGTAGGAGATAGTTTGCTACACGGTTTGCTGTTTACTATATAACTCAAATGGCATGTAGTTATGACTTTTATGTTATTTAGACTCCAGATCTCCTTATATATAGATATACAGGATGTGATATTTTCAAAAATATCCCAAATCCTGACATTTCATATCTCCTTTCAATGTAATATTCAAAAAACTGTTATCCTTATCAATACTCCACTTATGTCATAAAATATTATTGTCCTAATTTTATCTACTGTATAGTAGTGTGTATCTTAGTACCTTGTTTATTTCCATCAGTTATTTTCCAGTGATTCCCATATCTTATTTATGCCAGCTCATCATCCTATAAACTGTTTCACTGAGCATGATTATGGCACATTATGATGGTATAAACAAATATGCTGGTTTACAATTCTGGCCAGTTTATACTCTAAACTTCAATAACATACTGAAATAATGATATGTCTTTGTTTTCTGTGACACTGCTTTCAAGAACTCATTTCAATATCTTTACTGGAATTGATGTGAGTATATTATTCCAGTGAGATTGAAATGCCATTTTGATTATTCTTGACCTTTCTAGGAACCATGCTTTTAAATTAAGTATTGAGTATGTAATTACATCACTTTCATGCTGATAATAAAATGCCAGTTTTCTAGGAAGTTAATTCACAGATCTTCTAAAACACCATTGGAAACCATTTTGAGAAATACTTTGTAGAATAGTTTTCCTATTTGTTGAGCTCTTCTTTGGTATTTGATTGATTATTTTTTTATCTTTCTCATGATATTTATGTGGAATTATGAAAAATTAACACTTGCTAAAATTATTTCCACTATAAAAATGTTTTGATTAGTTAAGAAAGGCTTGACCACTTGCCTGTTTACTGTATTTTAAAGTTTCATGAGGTGGTCAAAAACGTAAAAAAATAATGAAAAAATACAGTCATTTCTCTAATATTTGTTGGAAGTGAAAAATATTCCTACTTTAATTTCTGAGGGATCTATGAAATTTTCATTTTTTCTAATTTGTGATTGAACAATAAAATTATGATTTGTGTGGAATTACTCCATCTTGTGCTATATGTTTATCATTGAATTTTTTGAGTTTTAATAATATTTGCTCAATCCACATATTATTTATTCAACATTGCAGTGTTTGGGTTCATATTATATTGAGTAGTGAACCAGAAATTCTGGTGTACAAACAACTGGAATTCCTTGGACTTCCTTGGATTTTGTTGGAATTCCTTGGATTCCCTCGGAATTCCTTTGATTCCCTCCCTTGGAATTCCTTGGATTCCCTTGGAATTCCTTGGATTTTCTTGGAATTCCTTGGATTCCCTTGAAATTCCTTGGATATTCTTGGAATTCTCTGGAATTCCTTGGGTGAAGTGCGGTATATTCCATTCCTGGTCTACAAACAACTGGAATTCCTTGGAATCCCTTTGATTTCCTTAGAATTCCTTGAAATTCCTTGGATTTCCTTGGAATTCTTTGGAATTCTTTGGATTTCTTTGGAATTCTTCAGGTTAAGTGTGGTATAATTCTGGTGTACACACAACTGGAATTCCTTGGATATCCTTGGATTTCCTTGGAATTTCTTGGATTTCCTTGGAAATTCTTGGATTTTCATGAAATTTCCTAGAATGCCTTGGAATTTCTTGGATTTCCTTGGAATTTCCAGGAATTCCTTGGAATTTACTGAAATTCCTTGGAATTTTTTGGAATTCCTTGTGTGAAATGCAGTTTAATTTTGGTGTACAAACAACTGAATTCCTTGAAATTCCTTGTATACCCTTGAATTTTCTTGGAATTTCTTGGATTTCTTTGGAATTCCTTGAATTTCCTTGGATTTCCTTGTAATTTTCTGAAATTTATTGGAATTCCTAGTGTGAAATGCAGTATAATTTTGGTGTACAAACAATTGAATTCCTTGGAATTCCTTGAAATTCCTTGTATATCCTTGAATTTTCTTGAATTTTCTTGGATTTTCTTAGAATTTCCTGGAATTCCTTGGAATTTATTGGAATTCCTTGTGCGAAATGCGGAATTCTGGTGTACAAACAACTGGAATCCCTTGGAATTCCTTGAAATTCCTTGGATATCTTTGGATTTTTTTGGATTTCCTTGGAATTCCTTGGATTTCTTTGGAATTCCTTGAATATCCTGGGATTTCCTTGGAATTTCCTGGAATTCCTTAGAATTTCTTGGAATTCCTTGTGTGAAATGCGGTATAATTCTGGTGTACACACAACTGGAATTCCTTGTGAAATTGAAGTTTGGTGTACACAATTTTGACCGCGGTTAACCCCTTGTATTATATTTACTAGACTGAACCAAAATCATGTTTATTGATGCATACTGACTGAATCTCACCTTGATGTGATTAGTGGTAGTACTCTCAACAATGATTCAAAACTTTGAGCCTCTGTTTCTCAGATTCAAGGTGTGTGCAGATGAATCCATGTTTTTTTATCTCTTGGCGTGCGTGAAACGGAATTTCTATAATATTCTAAGAACATTGTGCGTACCTAGGGAGGACGGAGAATTATTTTTATTTTGAGGTGACGATATGACATCATAATTGGTCTATTAGTATTGGTAGGTGTGGTGACAAATGCGCTGATTGCAACCTGATTGGATCTATTGTGCCCCATCTCAATGTTTTTTTCTGTTCATCAGCCCCTCAAGCTTCAGTACCTTTCATGAATTTGACGATTTTGAGGGGATCTGTTCATGGTATTTATGCCACAGTCAGCTCGTATGATCCCCGAAATGATCCCAGTATATTCGATCTGTGATCTAAAACACAGCACTCTAGCAAGACGTGGTGGGGTGTTGATGATTTTTTCACGTGATAAAAAAAAATCTGCAGGTTCTCTTATTCTAATTCTAGCTTCCTTAGATGTTCTTTGAGTCTACAATGCTCTGTTAGATATCCTGTAATTGATTTGAGACTTATTTTGCAAAGGTTAATCAGTCAGTATCTTCGATCTTGCTCCGTTGAAACTGCTGAGGATATCTTTGGTCTGCCGAAGCTATGAAAATCGTTCCATAAACTTTCAAAAGACCTGATAAGATCTATTGTGCCCCATCTTCTTCTGCTATCTCAGGGTTTTCTTGTTTATAGCAGCCCCTCAAGCTTCAGTTCCTTCGGGAGTTTCTGGATTTTGAGGGGTCCTGGTCGTGTTATTTCTCCCACAGTTAGCTCCTGCCTACATTGACAATTGATCGTTGAAAAAATGATTTTCTTCCGAAATATCTAGGTCAAAGTAACTTTTCCGAGTCCACCGAGGAAAAGAAACCGCTCACCGATGCCGAGAAGAAAGAGCAATTGGCGAAAATCGAGGCGAAGCTGCGGCAACGTCGCTTGGAGCGCGAGGCCAGAGAAAAGGAGGAACCCCTTTTGAGGGAGAAGAACCGCATCAAGTCCGGCAAGGAGATGCTGGAGACAATATTGCACCTCTCGCCTACTAACTAGATTTCTAAATATTGCACCTCTCGCCTACTAACTAGGTTTTTATTCAGAACGACAATGGAAACAAGCTATGAAAATCGTTCTATATACTTTCAAAAAGCCAACTTCGTCACGCAAAATCTTTGATACCAATATTTCCGATCAAAACGCAAATTTATAAATTAGTAATTCCTCGAGTAATTCTTACAGTGAAACGACGCTGTGTATGTTGGGTTGCCGCATTACATCTTAATTGGTTGGTCTTCAATAGATACAATTATTGTACATGGCTATTGGTAGGTGTGGATAGTGACAAATACGATGCGACCTGATTAGATCTGATGCCCAATATTCTTCTGCTATCTCAAGGTTTTCTTGTTTATAGCAGTCCCTCTAGCTTCAGTTCCTTCAGCAGTTTGAGACCTTGGAGGGTATCTGCTTGTGGTATTTGTCCCACAGTTTGCTCCTGCCTAGATTGACAATTGATCGTTAAAAAAAAGTAATTTCTTTGCAAATAACAAGGTCATAGTATAACTTTTCCGAGTCCACTGAGGAAAGAAGCCGAGAATGAGCAGCTGACAAAATTCGAGGAGAAGCTGTGGCAACGTCGCTTGTAGCGCGAGGTCAGAGTAAAGGAGGTGGCCTTCTTGATTGAGAAGTCCGGCAAAGAGATGCTGGAGACAATATTATATCTCTCGCCTACAGAAAAGGTTTTTATTCGGGGTGACAATGGGAGAAGCTATGAAAATCCTTCAATAAACTTTCATAAGACCTGATTAGATCTATTGTGCCCCATCTTCTTCTGATATCTCAAGGTTTTCTTGTTTATAGCAGGCCCTCAAGCTTCAGTTTCTTCGGGAGTCTGTGGATTTTGAGGGGTCCTGGTCATGTTATACCTACACAGTTAGCTCCTGCCTAGATTGACATTTCATCGTTGAAAAAATGAATTTCTTCCAAAATATCAAGGTCACAGTAACTTTTCCGAGTCCACCGAGGAAAAGAAACCGCTCACCGATGCCGAGAAGAAGGAGCAGCTGGCGAAAATCGAGGCGAAGCTGCGGCAACGTCGCTTGGAGCGCGAGGCCAGAGAAAAGGAGGAAGCCCTCTTGAGGGAGAAGAACCGCATCAAGTCCGGCAAAGAGATGCTGGAGGCGAAGAAGAGGCACGAAGAGTTGGAGATGAAGAAGATCATCGAGCAGAGGAAGAGGGAGAAGGAGGAGGAGAGGTTGGCCAAGCAAAGGGTCAGGGACCAGATAGAACAGGTAGGATAATGTCTGAGAAGACATCGTGTATTATTTGAATTGCTGGGGTTGTATATTTTCCAGAAAATTACAAAACCAAGAATGTTGCAGTGAATATCTCTATGTTTCCAAAGTCAAATTACCTTAGTCTCTGCCTTAGTAACAGAGTCCCATAACCTCTTTTCTGAAGTGAAGTATATCTTTTCAGCAATATTACCAACAGTCCTCATCTGTCATTAAATATACTAGTAAATAAAAATTAGTAGCAACACACAGTTGAACTTTATCTACAGTCTACTATTATCTATCGGATATCTAACTAGCGGATAAAATCGGCAATTGATAAACCGGCTCTCAGTGGGCTCAGTAACAAGTCAGAAGAAAGTGCATTATTTTGTTTTCTGAGTCTCTGATATTAAAATACTTGCTGCCCGGTCCGCCTTCGGACGGTTGGTGTATGTATTCATTTGAAATAAAAAGACATTTGTTGCAGTTGTTCTGAGCTATGCGCGTATCTACAGTACCTACATATTTTTTTGTTATTTTTCAATATTTTTTGTGCTTACCTATTGCTACTGCTATAAACTTGAACCTATTTTCATTCTCTCAGTATCTTTTGTATTTTTTGTTTGTTTTATATACTGAAATTTGCAACCCAATCGGTCAAGCCGTTTGGTAGTTGACGTTCGACAGCAGTGCCACCTACAGGATGGCGACCGATAAAGTCCAAGTCGTTTTCATTTTCAAATCAAAGCAATTCCTAACTTTCGGGGCGGCAAACTGTGACGTACGTTCTGAATCTAGTCTGAAAATAGCTGATGGTGAAGAATATAGCTAGTGTATAGCTAACGATTGAAAATCGAATGAAAAAAGTAGAAGAAGAAGAAAAACTGGTAAACAAAAACATACATAACCACAAATGCACTCGGAGCAGGAATGCAGAAGGTAGTTGGCTTCATTCTGCCAGGTTACGGTTTTGTTATTTATGCATTGAAATATATCCAACAGAGCTCGATCCTCGAATCAATATCGGCTACATTCAATGATACTATCCTTCCTAACTTACTGCCATCGCTCAGAACAGAATGAAGCCGACACCCATGGCTCCTTGTTGTGCCTGTCAGTGGTGTGGACGGACTCGAAGTAGTAGGCGCAGTTGCAAGATATAATCTGCAACTTTTTTTTATGGAAAATAGATCCGTTTTATTAAGAAACAAAGGACAATTTCCGGAAATCTAGACATATTTATGATGTCGGCAACGTCGTACTGGCACAGGGAATGGTATTCTAACTCTGTGTGAATGTGAATTTTCAGAAAGTAACTCGAAGGAATGGTGGAGGAGCCAAGTTCCTCTTTTATTTATTTTTTCTGAAGTGAAATTTGATCTTCCGTGAAAAAGAAAAATACTATATATCAATTTTTTATAAACTTCCCCATTGGTTCTGCCGTTTTAGAAGATATGAGAAAAAGATTAGTACGGAAGGATACTTTTTATTACCTGTTGCCCTATTACCCGTTTTTGCGTAGGAATGAAGCAATTTCCCGCGGTAAAAAGTAGCCTATGTTCATCAGGGATAATGTCGGCTTCTAAAGGTGAAATAATTCTTCAAATCGCTCCCGTAGTTTCGGAGCGTATTCAATACAAACAAACAAACAGGTGAACAAACAAGCAAATCCTTCCTCTTTATAATATTAGTATAGATAAACCGCGATACAAGGGAGTACTTTATGTTCGAATTGACTGATATAATTGGTTCCTGTTGAATAAACACTGATTGACTCTGTCTTTTGTCGAGAAAAAAACACGTATCGATGGAAAAACTTCCCTCTTTTCAGGACAAGCTGGCGAGAAAAGCGAAATTTAGCGGCGCCGCCTCTGAACCCCCAGTTGCCCCGCCCGTCACCACGCCTGCCGCCACGCCCAGACCCGCCGTCAACTACACCGAGATACGGCTGCAAATCAAGCTGCCCGACGGCTCCGGACTCACGCAAACTTTCGGGGCCAAAGAGCCGCTTTCCTCGGTGCGATTGTTCGTCGAGATGAGTCAGAAAGTGAACGAAACGTCGTTCAGCTTGATGCGATCCTATCCGAGGAAGGTGTTCGGTAGCGACGATTACGACAAGCCTCTCGAATCTCTTGGTGAGGAATTCACTTGTTTTTCCCTCCGGGAAGAGAAATAGTACGCCCTTGGAATCGCATTATATCAATAAAATCTCGAAATATGGGAATTGCAATTCATTGAACTGTTTGATTTTCTCAGGAAAAATCATAGGTACACCACTGGAATCGCACAATGCCGATAAAATCTCAAATGTTCGAAATTCCGAGTTTTTCAAAAAATTTCGACCCCTTAGAAAAAAATTTGCTACGCCCATGGAATCATATAATGCCGATAAAACTTCGGAATTTCAAAATTCAGGAGTCTTTCCGGTCTCACGCAAACTTTCGGGGCCAAAGAGCCGCTTTCCTCGGTGCGATTGTTCTTCGAGATGAGTCAGAAAGTGAATGAAACGTCGTTTAGCTTGATGTGATCCTATACGAGAAATGTATTCGGTAGCGACGATTACGACAAGCCTCTCGAATCTTTTGGTGAGGAGTTGTACGCTCTGGGAATCGCATTATATTGATGAAATCTGGAAATATGGGAATTGCAGATTCGTTGGTTGAATTGTTTGGTTTTCTCAGAAAACGTATTAGGTACACCCCTGGAATCGCACAATGCCGATAAAATCTCAAATTTTCGAAATTCCGAGTTTTTCAGAAAAATTCGACCCCTTAGAAAAAAAATTGCTACGCCCATGGAATCATATAATGCCGATAAAACCTCGAAATTTCTGAATTCAGGAGTCTTCCCGGTCTCAAGCAAACTTTCGGGGCCAAAGAGCTGCTTTCCTCGGTGCGATTGTTTGTCGAGATGAGTCAGAAAGTGAACGAAACGTCGTTTAGCTTGATGAAATTCTATCCGAGAAAAGTATTCGGTAGCGACAATTACGACAAGCCTCTCGAATCTCTTGGTGAGGAATTATTTTGTTTTTTCCCTCGGAAAAAAAAATTAAAAATCCTTGGAATCGCATTATATCAATGAAATCTCGAAATATGGGAATTGCAGATTCGTTGAATTGTTTGCTTTTCTCAGAGAAAGTATTTGGTACACCCCTGGAATCGCACAACGCCGATAAAATCTCAGATTTTCGAAATTCCGAGTTTTTACAAAAAATTTCGACCCCTTAGAAAAAATTTTGCTACGCCCATGGAATCATGTAATGCCGATAAAACCTCGAAATTTCAAAATTCAGGAGTCTTCCCGGTCTCACGCAAACTTTCGGGGCCAAAGAGCTGCTTTCATCGGTGCGATTGTTCGTCGAGATGAGTCAGAAAGTGAACGAAACGTCGTTTAGCTTGATGCGATCTTACCCGAGGGAGGTGTTCGGTAGCGACAATTACGACAAGCCTCTCGAATCTCTTGGTGAAGAATTCACTTGTTTTCCCCTCGGGAAAAGAAATAATCGCATTTTATCAATAAATTCTCGAAATATGGGAATTGCAGATTCGTTAAATTGTTTGATTTCCTCAGGAAAAATATTATGTACATCCCTGGAATCGCACAATGCCGATAAAATCTCAAATTTTCGATATTCCGAATTTTTCAAAAAATGTCGACCCCTCAGAAAAAAAATTTGTTACGCCCATGGAATCATATAATGGCGATGAAACCTAGAAATTTCAAAATTCAGGAGTCTTCCCAGTCTCAAGCAAACAAACAACAAAGCAAACATAAAATGAACGAAACGTCGTTTAGCTTGATGCGATCCTATCTGAACCTCTTGGTGAAAAATCCCCTTTTTTCTCCTTAGGAAAGAATCACTTTTTTTACTAGGAAAAAGAAATAGTACGCCTTTGGAATGGCATTATATCGATAAAATCTCGAAATATGGGAATTCCAGATGCATTAAATTGTTTGCTTCTCTCAGGAAAAGTATTAGGTACACCCCTGGAACCGCATAATGCCGATAAAATCTCAAATTTTCGAAATTCCTGGTTTTTCAAAAAATTTCGGTACCCCTTAGAAAAAAATTTGCTACGCCCATGGAATCATGTAATGCCGATAAAACCTCGAAATTTCAAAATTCAGGAGTCTTTCCGGTCTCACGCAAACTTTCGGGGCCAAAGACCATCGGTGCGTTTGTTTGTCGAGATGAGTCCGAAAGTGAACGAAATCGATGAAATCTCGAAATATGGGAATTCCAGTTTCATTAAATTGTTTGCTTTCCTCAGGATAATATTAGGTACTCCCCTGGAATCGCACAAGGCACAATAAAATCTCAAATTTTCAAAATTCTGAGTTTCAAAAAATGTTGACTTCCTAGAAAAGAATTGGTACGCCCATGGAAACATCTTGGTGACAAATTTGCTTCTTCTTTCTCTTTTTTCCTTTTTTACTTCAATAAAATTGGTAAATTTTCTATTTTTGACCCTCTCAGAAAAAATAGTACCTACGTCTCTGAAAGCAACATTTCAACTTCCATTCAGATGGTGTGTTAGAAATTAGAAATATTTTTCATTTTTGTACTCCCTCTGGAATAAGTGATATGGTCCTGATATTGTGATTTTGATTTCCTTCTGAATAATACCGAATACATTTCAGGATTCCCATATTTTTCACTTTGGACCCTTTCAGAAAATAATTGCATGCCCCCAATTTGGAAATTCCCATTTTTCATGATATAATGGCGTTTTTTATTATTTTTCACCTCTTCAAAAGAATGTACTTCTCTGAATTCGCAATTTTAATGTTCATCGCAAAACGGTAAAAAGTCGAAATTCCAATTTCTCCATTTTTGACCCCGGAGAAAAAAAAAATAGGTAAGTCTCTGAATTCGCGATTTCGAATTTCTCGTGCATAATCTAAATGAAATTTCCAAATTTGTATTTTTTCCGCTTTGCTCTTCTCGGAAATAAAAAATTATTGTACTGGAGTCGTTTTTCTCAATACATTGAAAAAATTAGCAAAATCGGACCTTATTCAACGAGAAGATTGTTTGACATTTTCCATGTTCTTTTCAGATTTGGCACCTGCTGCTGTGCTCTTTGTGAAAAAGGACTGAAATACCTAGTCAGATAAGTAGCAATCTAACAGGTTTTGGAGCAGTTTTGAAAATACTGTTACTGTATGTGTAAGTTATATTTTTCTTTAATTTTCTGTTTCATATCGATTATTCGAATAAAGTTGGAGGTATCGTTTATGGGATCTCTTGAAAGGACATGTGTTTCAGTGCAAACATTTTTCATCTGGTATAATGAAAAGGGCATTAGTTCTTTCACTGGTAGTTCTACAGGGTGTCCGCTAAAAGGAGGTCAATCCATCAACCATATATTCCTTGAACAAAAACAATCTGAGTTTCTAGATACCATTTTTCATTTTAGCCCTTTATATTAGATATACAGGGTGTCAAAGTTGGAAATTGAAAACTGTTTTATTACAATTACTCGCGTATTTGATAAGATATTAATCTCAAAATTGGTACATTACTTCAGCACAAAGAGTTACATCGTGTGAGGAAAACAAAACAGAAAATAACTGTAAAATATTCAAAATACTGGGGGTCGAGTACACACTTACCCCCATATTTTTTTATACGTGCGCTAATGACTTCCTATCTATTTTTCTTCAAGTGTTCAATCATTTTTGAGTATTTTTTGTCTTCTGTCAAATTTCAATAAAATGGTTTTTGAGATAATTCGAAAAGTACTGGTTATTGTTTGATGCCTATGCGGCTAACGGCAATCTCATAATGTTTACATACTCCTATTTATTTCGTCGAAATTGAAAGAGGGCGTAACTTTTTACGTATGAAAAGGTAAATATGGAAATACCGGGTGCTCATAGCGAATGTATTAAAATAATTTTTACAAAAAAAAATTGATAAAAATTCAACACGTCTAAATGAATTGCTTGATATGACCTCCAATTTTTTGAATATACATGCGAGTCCTTTTAATTAAAGTTGATCTTAGCCTTTGAAAAAAAGATGATTTGCCTCTACTGGTGAGAGAAAATATGTGGTTTCAATTAGATGGTGCACCTCCGCACCTTCTGTGAATGTTCTAAATTATTTGAATGAAATCTTTCCTAATCGCTGGATTGGTCGGGGTCAGGATCTCACACCCTTGGACTTTTCAGTCTGGGGATGCATGAAAGATTTTGTGTATAAGGTTCCGATTATGAGCGAGAATCATTTAAGAGACAGACTCTTTCAAGCTGGGGAGCACTCCAGGTTGAAACCACATATTTTTCAAAGGCTAAGATTTTCTTCAATTAAAAGGGCTCGCATGTGTATTCGAAAAATTGGAGGTCATATCGAGCAATTTATTTAGACGTGTTGGATTTTTATCAATTTTTTTTTTGTAAAAATTATTTTAATACATTCGCTATGAGCAGCCGGTATTTCCATATTAACCTGTTCGTACGTAAAAACTTAAGCCCTCTTCCAATTTCGTCGAAAAAAATAGGAGTATGTGAACATTATGAGATTACCTAAGCCGCATAGGCATCAAACAATAACCAGTACTTTTCGAATTATCTTAAAAACAAATAATTTTATCAAAATTTAACAGGAAACAAAAAATACTCAAAAATGATTGAACACTTGAAGATAGATTTGAAGTCATTAGCGAAGGTACAAAAAAAAATGGTGGTAAGTGTGTACTTGACCCCCTGTATTTTGAATATTTGACAGTTACTTTCAGTTCTGTTTTCCTCACACGATGTAACTCTTTGTGCTGAAATAATGTACAAATTTTGGGATTAATATCTTACCAAATACGCGAGTAATTATAAAAAATCAGTTTTTAATTTCCAACTTTGAATATGAAGGGCTAAAATGAAAAATGGTATCTAGAAACTCAGATTGTTTTTGTTCAAGGAGTATATGGTTGATGGATTGACCTCCTTTTAGCGGACACCCTGTATATCTAAATTTGATAGTGGGAATTGTGGATAATTGAAAACATGTCTTTGATGTCAGAAATTGAGTATATTATTTTATCATAAGTACTTTTCAATAATTGACAGTATAGTTAACCAAAATATACAAAACATGTTTTACATTCACATCTTAACACTGGAATCAAATTTATGAATTAAAAATAGTGAAATGTTATGACAATAGGAAGTTTTCTCATATTTTTTGTTCCACAATTTGACTTATGATAACATAAAATTATTGTATAGTATGTATTGAAAATCATTTTGATATAATTTCTGAAGCATTGTTGGTGAAAAATCACCTACTTTAAATAAATACCTCATCCTATGTACAAATCATACAATTTAAAAAATAATTGGTTGGCAGAATTGCCACAGTATCTCAACTTTATAATTGAGATCCAGATTAATAAATATAACAACAAAAAAATCACTATTGAATTGAATCACCATGTAATAGAATTAAATGAAAAAAATACAAAATATGGTTTCTGGAATTCAATCGGCTATAATGGAATACCTACCGACAGAAAAAGATATTCCAAATGATACAAATCATCATCGAATTTGGATAGAAACATCTTTTAGTTCAACCTAACCTTCTTTACTCATGAAAATTTTAAAACTATTGCTCTTTTTTCACCATTTCCTATAGTCAATATCATTCAGTAGCAAGGTTTCTCGAATCAATCATATATCTCAGTTAATTTTTCTTAATATTGATAAGAATGGCAAAATTACATGACGTGGTCTTCCAAGTAACTTCTCACTTCCAACGATAGGTCACCGACATAACCTACTACCTAGACCGCTATATATCATCCAAATTGTTCGCCTGAAAATGCTTTTGCGCGAGTCCTAGAAGGATCCGAAATATCATCAATTACAATATTATATGAAAAGTAGATTAAGTCGGTGCGTTAGATACTTGATTCATTCAGGAAAATGTGTCCTACGAGGTTCTACCTCCTTTTTTTATATTTTCATGGTTCTGCCATTTGACTTATCTCTGATTTCATGTCAACAAATTACATATTAAGCCTAGTTTATTGATAGGCGATTCCGCGTTAACGATACCTTCTCAATGATCTAAATGATGATACCATGGCATGATCTTGCGATGTCTGCAATGTAGCCAAATTTATCGCGATAATTTTATCCCGATCATCGGAAAAATGACTGACATAAACTACTAACTTGACCGATATGACAACCAAATGATTCTCCTGAAAATTATTCTTCGCAATTTGTAGAAGGATCCGAAGTGTAATCAATGGCATCAATGACATTTGTGCGTTAGATAATTTCATTCAGGAAAATGTGTCCTATGAGGTTCTCCCCTCTACTTTATATGTTTCATTGTTCTGTGATTTGACATGTCTAATTTCATGTCAACTATTACACATTAAGAGTATGTTCCAATATTCCTGAACACTACTGCCCAGTATATTTTCGTTTTCGCGGGTCATTGCAAGGAAATGAAATTTCTAATTCGAATTCTTTCTCTTTTTTATCTCACTTTCCACTTCAGCCTCATCATCAGAATTTTTGACTACTTTATAGTGTTTCATTTTGCTGCAGCATCATTTCCGAGATGATTTCCGGTGGGTTATTTAGTAAAAAATGTGCGAGATAAGACATTACAACTACCAAAATCATATAATCCACATGTTTTTCCATCATGAAAATACTACAATAAAAAAATAAAATTCAAATTACAAGTCAATCCGACAAGAAATCCGTCGATAAAATGTCACTGAAAATACTTGGATGACAATTATGTTCCAATTACATCAACTGTCATTCATGACAGAACTTATGCCACTTAGTGTTCGGAAACATTAGTGAGAGTTAGTAACAATGTTGAGTTGGGCTTAGTTTTCATGCATACCTATGAAATTCACTAATTTCTTTTGAAATTTGTCTAAAACTCAAGAGATTCTCCAAGATAGAGGAGGGTCCAGACGTCCAGAATAGGTTCTTGCGAAGTAATGAATTTATTGTGGAATTGTTGACATATTTCATCTGAATGTCAGAAAATCCGTATTCATGAAAACATAGCTTTCTTCTTTCTTGAACTGTGAAATTAACTTGAGTAACTGGTCATGTAGTTTCATCAATACCTATACCAAGAAAATACTGCAGGAGATTTCCCGGAAATTCTAGACTTGACAGTTGAAGGCTCAACTGTGTTTCACCAATAAACAAGGCTAGTACCTTGAACCAAAATCCGTCTATTGAAAGGAATCATATGTTCATTCGCTAGCAGGAAAATGATTCACCTAGACGAAAAAATTCACCTACACCATCTCATCATTAAGTGGTGAACCATATAAGGAACTTCAATAACCTATAAATCCTCACATAATGCATCCGTTCTTCGTAGTTATGACTCAGCGCATCACCAAAGTAATTCATTTCGTACCAACTATGCCTACCAGGCGATCCAGATACATAACCGGTTTTTTCAAATCGCAATTACCAACCACATCCCCTCTCAATTTGTTATCCGGATTAGCGTGATCGCAATCTATAACCTCGAAAGTTTTGTTCAAACAAATCCTTATCTCGCTGATCATGGACTCCTTGGTGTGCCTGTCCACAACACACTGTATCATAGGGTCCACTCTGGTCACCGATTTGACCGCGTCGTAGATCTGTTGAGGCGTGAGCCACGACTTACAGGGCGTTATCTTGCTCCGGGCCAGAATCTCAGATAGTTCAAACTGCTTGTTCAACGTCAAGCATTGCGTGAAGAGATTAGTGACGCTGTTAAGTTGTGTTGGGAAAATTTTCCTTTCATTATAAGCATATTCATTTACGAGATCGAACTTGGTATAATGGAGCGCGCGCATTCAGATCCTCTTATTATCTTACTCTCTCTTACTTATGTTTCGGAACACCAAGAAACATGACTTGCAGTCATAAACGACAGTTTGGGAGTTCCTGCGCATTGAATAAGGAGCGATTTCAGGCAAACAATTTGGATGAGCTTATCAAGTTAGTGGGATACGACATATAACAGGCTAGATAGTAGTTATGTTATTAGTTTCATGAATAAACAAGGCTAGTAAGTTGAACCAAACGCCCCTATTGAATGGAATCATATAAATGTGCATTTCACCTAGACGAAAAATTTCACCTACACCACTTCATTATTAAGTGGTGAACCATATAAGGAACTTCAATAACCTATAAATCCTCACATAATGCATGCGTTCTTCGTAGTTATGAAGCGCATCACCAAAGTAATCCATTTCGTACCAACTATGCCTACCAGGCACCTGATCCAAATACATCACCGGCTTTTTCAAATCGCAATTACCAACCACATCCCCTCTCAATTTGTTATCCGGATTAGCGTGATCGCAATCTATAACCTCGAAAGTTTTGTTCAAACAAATCCTTATCTCGCTGATCATGGACTCCTTGGTGTGCCTGTCCACAACACACTGTATCATAGGGTCCGCTTCGGTCATCAATTTGACCGCATCGTAGATCTGTTGGGGCGTGTACCCTGACTTACAGGGCGTTATGTTGCTCCGGGCCAGAATCTCAGATAGTTCAAACTGCGTGTTCCACGTCAAGCATTACGTGAGGAGATTATTGACGCTGTTAAGTTGGGTTGGGAAAATTTACTTCTCATTATAAGCATATTCATTTACGAGATCGAACTTGGTATAATGGAGCGCGCGCATTCAGAACCTCTTATATATCTTACTCTCTCTTACTTATGTTTCGGAACACCAAGAAACATGACTCGCCGTCATAAACGACAGTTTGGGAGTACCTGCGCATTGAAGATGAGTGATTTTAGGCAAACAATTTGGATGAGCTTATAGAGTTGCTGAGATACGAAATATAGCAGGCTAGATAGTAGTTATGTTATTAGTTTCATGAATAAACAAGGCTAGTAAGTTGAACCAAACCCCCCTATTGAATGGAATCATATAAATGTGCATTTGACCTAGACGAAAAATTTCACCTACACCACTTCATTATTAAGTGGTGAACCATATAAGGAACTTCAATAACCTATAAATCCTCACATAATGCATCCGTTCTTCGTAGTTATGACTCAGCGCATCACCAAAGTAATCCATTTCGTACCAACTATGCCTACCAGGCACCTGATCCAGATACATCACCGGCTTTTTCAAATCGCAATTACCAACCACATCCCCTCCCAATTTGTTATTCGGATTAGCGTGATCGCAGTCTATAACCTCGAAAGTTTTGTTCAAACAAATCCTTATCTCGCTGATCATGGACTCCTTGGTGTGCCTGTCCACAACACACTGTATCATAGGGTCCGCTTTGGTCACCGATTTGACCGCGTCGTAGATCTGTTGGGGCGTGTACCCTGACTTACAGGGCGTTATCTTGCTCTGTGCCAAAATTTCAGACAGCTCGAACTGCTTGTTCAACGTCAAGCCTTTCGTGAAGAAATTGGTGACGCTGTTCAAAGCTGGTAATGTCACGGAACAAGTGCCGTGCTTGTCCCATTCGTGCTTCCAGAAGGAATAGGGCTTCGTGTTGGCCTCCACGTTGGTCCAGCGGGCCTATGTAGGGTTGAAAAATTTCAGTTTTAGTAATGATATGAAATTTCACTTGAAATTGTCATGAAATATAGCGTTGGCTCACTTCTAACGGCCCCCCTCTGTACACAGCTATAATTCCCGCGATTCTTAGCAAATTTGGACTAATATGAATAACTATCAGTTTATTAGAGGCAAAAATCTTTGTGGACAGTGCCTTGCGTTTTCATTGACATAAAAGGGAGTCGATTTTTCATGAAATCATATTAGGATTATTTTACGGGAAAACTTACTTCATAGTATCATTGGTTTGTTTAATCTATTATAGCATATTGAAGACTGGATCCTTTGGCATGATAATACACTAACTAAACCGTTTTAAAAAATCGGTTTGGTTAGTGTAAAACAGTGTGGTGTACCTTCATAGTATTGCTCTTGAATTTCCATATGCAAAAATTCACCTAATTCGGATTACTAAAATTCAACTTCATTTTTTCATTTTCTGTCTGAATAAATAATGAATTCAACTTGACTGCATATTTTGAAACGTTCAGTAGCTCCGGTAGGTAGGAAGTTATGGTTTGAAAGAGTAAATGATTTAGTTACGTTCGCAAAAATGCTGTTTAGATGTGCCTGGTTTCTTGAAACCCTACATATAAATTTTATGAAAATTTACAGATGGATGTTTGAAATCATTAAGAACAATATGATGTTAGTTTTCCTGTGAGAAAAAGCCTACTATGATTTCATGAAAAAGCGCCCCCTTTTTATTTCAATTTAAACGGACGGCACTGTCCAAAATGATGTATGTCTCTGAAAAACTGATCAGATTGAGGAATATTCCTTTTCAGAGATATTCATAGCAGTCCAAATTTGGTGAGAATCGCTGAGATATAGAGGGGGGTCGTTTACAGGGGGACACGTTGTACGTACAGGGTGATCATGAAGATTTTTCATCATATGTATACATCCATTTATACAAATCCCGATTTATTTGATATATGAAATATATCTATGAATAAGAACAATTCTCTGGCAATGGTTCCGCAGAGTTATCCCCACCATTCGGGATTTCATTCATTTGGCATGATCATCATAGAACCTTCTACCAGTTCATCAAATGCTACTGAAAATTTAGGAAATTTCACCATGAATTTCACCCACAAAACAAAAGAAATGTCCAGCACTGTACAGAAAGACACAGTATACAGGGTGTTTCATTGGGAAAGGTAAATAATTCAACTGTGGATAGGGGTCACTGAGGTGATTTCAAAAAACCCATGGTTAATGGGTCTTCGACATCTTATAACCGAGATACGGGATGTTTCATCAATTTTGCCCATATCTTTATTGTCTCATAACTTTCCAACCAACCTGTATATATTTTTTTGAATTGGTACACTTACTCAATCTATTGGAATTGATTGAGGCATCAACAAAATAGAGAATCCAGGTCCGGCTTCACTAAAAATTCTGCAGAAAACAACACCTTATACATATGAATTTCTCAATTTTTCGAGCAGGGCATCAAGATGTCTATTCAAAAATGTACTTTTTATTTATGTAGATACGATTTTTACTAATATTATGTCCTCAAAATATTATTTTTGCTCATTTTGGGGTCTAAAAGTGAAATCAAATGAAGATTTATCAATTGTATTACTTCCTATTCAGTCTACGTGAGTGAGTATTACGTTTGGGAGGAGTGTTTCATATCGTTCTTTGTATCCATCCAGACTATTAGAAAATATAGTTGCAGGTCCGTCATCAAAACTATACAGGGCTTTTCACGATGAGCGTTAATTAGACGTCTTCGTGAAACCAGGCAACGGATAAATCTGAAAATAAAATTAGAAATTCAAATATATAGGGTGTTGTTTTCTGGCAGAAAGAATTTGTGAATTTCAAGTGAAGCCGGACCTGGATTCTATCTTTTGTTGATGCCTCAATAAATTCCAATAGATTGTGTAAGTGTACCAATTTAAAAAAATATATTCAGGTTGGTTGGACAGTTATGAGACTATAAAGATATGAGCAAAATTGATGAAACATCCCGTATCTCGGGTTCTTTGAAATCACCCCAGTGACCCCTATCCACAGTTGAATTATTTACCTTTCCCAATGAAACACCCTGTATATGATGCGTCTGTTTTAAATTTCGATCACCCTCGCAAAAGTACACGTATCTGTTATTATTCCCACCATTCGCGATTTCATTCATTAAACCGTGTTTGGCGTTTGCGATTGTCGGCATATACTTTCTAACGATCTATTCACCTTCATATCGTCCAGAAACGGGTCCAATTGACCGGGATCGAAATGCACGGCCGACGGGCAGAAAAGAGGCCCCTCAGTGCCGTACTTGGTCGGCCATATGCCGTGCACCGTCCACGTGTTCTTGTTTTGGGGCAGGTCGCACGTGTTGTCCGGTTTGGCCTCCTCCCATTGGGCGCAAGAGGTGACCGGCCACCGTTGGGCGTACATGAGGTAGTCCCAGTCGTGGTAGGGGGTGGGGGTAGGACCGGGTTTGCCGATGGGTTGGTAGCCGCTAGAAGAGAGCGATGTTATGTTTGGGGCTGCGCGATATTGGATTTCACATATCGATTATCGATAGGTCAAAACATTATACAGGGTGTTGCGAAATTCGACCGACAACGCTTGACAGGTGATATCCTTCGTGATTTCATAATCACTGAGATAGAGACATACGGTCTTCAAGTGTTCAGTTCTCGAGATATAGGGCGTTGAAGTTAAGAAATCAAAATAGTTTTTTCGCCATATTACGACAAGCGCTTATAGCGCTATAAGGCGACCGCGTATTTCGATATTAGTTTTAGATCATCATTGAGCCGATTTTGCTGTTTTTTGAAGGGCTTCCGGTTAAAAAAGGATGCCAGTCGTCAACTGAGCCCTTCTTCGCACCCCATTCGATTTTATTATGGAAAAACGAAGTTTTAAAGCAAAAACCAGGATTAAACACAAATATCCACCTACAGCAACCCATTCGAATTAAATATATTGGCAAAAATTGTGGTGAAGGTGAACTTCACACCTACTTATACAGGGCCCGCAGAACATAAACTTATCGTGAGATTGATCGAAAGAAAATTGTGGAAAATGTATTTTATTTTGATTGACATGCCGTTTGTTACAATTACCTATATTTATCTTGGAGAATTCCTATTACCTGAAAAAATAACCAGTGAGTGTTTTCAATTTTCTGTTGTTGGATTCTTCACCCAAGTGGATCGTTACACTTGAAACCGTAATTTTTAAGGGTAAAACTGCATTTATCATGCGATGGTTTTTTTTTTGAAAATTTTTTTTCGGTACTCACGTATTTTTGTCTGATAAACCGAATTTTATAATGAAAATGTGAACAAACCACTATTTATTGAGATATTTCAAGAAAAAGTTCGAAATTTCGCCTTCTTTCTCTCCTTGTGTTGGGGGCATTTGAAGCTACTTGCTCTTATTTTGTCATTGGACACTTTATATACTCATGATGTACTTAGATGGCACATTTTTATATAGAAAATTCAACAGGAAATATGATTTTTATGGCGAGTTTTTCATATTTAGTGAACAAGCATTCCAGATGACGACCATTTAATCAATAGTCAATCAAAATACGAGATGTCAAATGTCAATAGATTGCTTTCGAATGACATTACACACGCCATTATTTTTAATGATATTCTTCCTTCTTTTCACTAAATATGGATTAATCTCAAGAAAATCATATTTATAGTTGAATTATATATAAATTGTCCAATATGATGAAAAAAGAGGGAAATTTGTTCTAAATGCCATCCAGAAGACAGGTGAAAAAGAAGGTGAAATTTGGAACTTTTCAGTCAAATATCTTCATGATAAATATCATGATAAATGCAGTTTTACCTTTTTTGAGTAGAGTGTTTGTAGTTCATGTTAATATGATAGTTGCAATTTGATCATTGGAATGAATTCTGCATTCATTGCCACGAGGCAAATGACCGTTTTCAGAAAGGAATTTGAGAATGAAAATTAAAAATGCCCGTTTATTATGAACATTCAAGAAAATTTCCTCGAATTCAGAGATGATTTTGTTGACTATAATATACGAATACAAAACTAACTACACAATCAAAGCTTTTCTATTTTTCCTCTACTTATACTTTTTATGAGAGAGTAATTGTCTTCTATTATTAATTCATCATTATAAATTAAGCTCTGTTTACTACTGAACTTAGATACTTGGAGTAAAATCCTCGCGGTGAATTGCATATACTTACCCACATTTTCGATAGCTCCTCGTCCAACGGGAAACTAAAAGCATGAACTATTGAACCACCCACATAATTCCCCCGACAAAAGGGAACACAACACTTGAAAGGCATTGTAATTTCGCCGATCACAACACAAAATATTTCACAAAACAGTAATTTTTCCGCCAATTATTTTGATGAATAAACAATAAAATAATTCGGGACCGATTTAAAAACATACGTGAATCACCGATGAATTAACACGAACTGACGCGTTAGTCGACAAGCGATAAAATAAAACATTGGCCTCACTTGGCGACGTCACGAGCTGTTTACGTCAGAGTCTGCTGGCCTTGTTGTATCGGTGGTAACGGCCTTACAGGGGGTTGTGGCAACTTTTCCTCCCATATTTTCTATGCCACTGATTAAATTTCAATTATTTCCAATTCCTTGAATTCATTGTTCAATTTTGTTCAAGAAATGCATAACCTTCAACTGAGCTGAAATGAACAGTTTTCGAGATATTCGACCCAAAATAGGCATAGTAATATTTCATTTTCAGTGGTAGAAAATTGCAAAAATATTTTTCTGGTGTTGAGTAGATTAGATACTATTCAGATCTCATTCTGTAGCTGAACAGAAATAGTTATTCCACGCATAAAGAGCACACAAAAATTTTTGTAATCTTCTACTACTGAAGAAGATGAAAAATTACTATGCAAACTTCTATTTCGGGTCGAATGTCTCGATAACTGTTCATTTTAGCTCAGTTTTTTTTCAACATAATTGAACAATCAATTCGAGGAAATAATCGAAATTGCATCAGTGGCGTAGAAAATATGGGAGGAAAAGTTATCACAACCCTCTGTAGCGCACCTCTGGATAAAATTTTCGGAATGTCTTTCTGGTCAAAAAATTAACCATTGAAAGATGAAACCATATACCGAATTCGAATGCATTATATTCAATTTTTCGTAATATGGCGAAAAAACTATTTTGATTTCTTAACTTCAACGCCTTATATCTCGAGAACTGAACACTTGAAGACCGCATGACCCTGTCTCAGTGATTATGCAATCACGAGGGCTAAAACCTGTCAAGCGTTGTCGGTCGAAATTCGCAACACCCTGTATAATTATATTGATATTCATCGACATATCGATAGTTGTAGATATTTTTTGAATTGACTCAGCCGTTACTTGATGGAAATCCATGGAAAATGTAAAAACTTCACAAACGATAAGATTTCCACAAAATTCTCAAACACAAGACATATTTCGCTAACACAGTAGCTTCGTCAGGTGATATACTGGTACAATGAACTAAACTAACGTTGGCTTGCTTGACTTTTATATATCCTACTTTCCCAGAAACATAGCCACCTTCTTATTTATGTGAATTTGACATTCACATTGCAATGTTATATCAATATCCGCATGCAAGAAGTTGAACTGTTAACAAACTGGGAAAATAATTAGATGCAAGTTTTTGCTTTTTCTAACTGCAATTATACTGGGAATCAAGTTACTTACGTCATTCGAATTTTCATCAAATAGAAGCAGTTCTACAGAAATGGAAAGAAAATATGAATAAGTTGGAGTTGTGGCATTAGATTATTATTTTTTCCATTCCTTACCGGAAGATTTGATAATAAACATCGAGATTGCATTGAGAGAAAAAGCCGGACCTAAGAGGAAACAAAAATTATATCCCTCATCTCATGTTTTCGAGATTCTTAAAGAACATTGAAGCAGAAATGTCACCTTTATGGAATTTGTAATATTAATAAAGGATATAGAAAGAGCATTATCAAAATGTATTAAAATTCTGTGTTTGGGTCACCCGGTATAATATAATGCAAGTTTTGCAAAAGAAATTCTCTTCCACTTCAGACTGAAACAAAAATTTTAATTTCCTAGCTGCCTATCCATGAGTGTGTGCAAAATCAATCACACAGAAAAAGTTAGAATGTAGAAAATTACACAACATAATTATTCCCTTTGTCACATAAGAAAGTGGATGATGAGTTTGATTGCTTTAAAAAAATTAATGACATTATTTTACTTAGTTGTATGGTGTGGTGTGTGTACATGACTTTCAATCAGTCAAGATACTTATCATCCTTATCACAAAAACACGCAAAATATGATGATTTGAACAAGAACATCACAAAGCATGGACATATTATCTGATTCAATTCAATCATAATAAAATTGATGATGAAACAAATAGATAGTCTATTTGTTTGACAAAAACATCAAGTACTCAATGTTTATTGGCAATCATTCTTTGTTCAGACCCATATTTTTTCCTATCACTGATACCATCATTGTTGCCTATCAGAGATGAGACATTTCACAGTCTTCATCATTTTAATAAAGATTTTGAATGTAGAATCTTCGGACATCTTGTAATAATGGAGTGTCAAGTCAAGATTAACCACATTTTCTGTTTAACTAATCAACTCTGTCTTGTCAAGTACCTAACTAGATACCTATCAACTAAATTGAATAAAACCAAGATTTTTACTGAACATGCTTGGATTGAGAAAATATGAAAATAAGAAGAAACTGTGGTTTTTTTCAACATGGAATTATGGATAGGACAATGCTTGATCATTGCAATTTCGAAAATAGAATTCAATGACACATTTTTGCTTGACTACAACCTACAACACAAGGTTATAATTCCCAAATAACATGCAAAAATAATGAATAGGTATATTATCTTACCAAACATTTTGAATTGCTAATAAGATCGCTCCTGCAATGTATATTTTTACATTATTCAACTTCATTGTTCCACATACATTAAATACTATTTTGTTTCAATTTCTGTTATCCAGGACTTGCCTAATCAGCTGTTTGACATAATAATAATAATATAAAGGGAAATGGTATTCTACATTGTAATGAAAAAACTGTCAGAAATCTGTAGTCCAATCTCGGTAGAATTTTATAACCCATATGAAGTGAAGTTTGCCATGAACAGTTTGGCTACCAACTGATAGGTGGCTATAGTTGTACTGGCAGGGCAGCCAATGGCGGGAAGTAATTCTTCGTTATTTTTATAACATATTTAATTCAAATGCAAAATGCAGCATCATATAGCATTTCTTAGATGACAACAATTATTTGTTCTTCGAAATTATTATGTGTAAATTGCAATACGTTATACGTAATTGCAAAGAATTTCAATCAGTCGAAGCAATGAAATGTGTATACTTCTCTTTGGTTA